CCCCCCCCCCGCCCGACCCTCCTCTAAATCCGCCACTGTTATTTGTTTGAATTTATACATATTGATCTACTTAAATAAAAGACAGCCGAAGGCTGGCTACACTACAGCCATTAGCACAGGCGGAACCAGGATTATTTGAAGGGGGCGTGCACGTGGATGCGAAGTCAACCCCCCTCCCCCCTTGGCGTGAAGGGTCCCGAAACATTTTGGTATTTTTGAAGGCGAACGGCGTCATTTGGTATAGTTTAGAACTATGATTCGGCTAGTTAAAATTCTAATTTCAGGAGGGGTGGATACGGATATTGGATACGGTCACTTTACAAAATGATGTGATCAATCCTTTTACCCCATAGTTACTTTGTCATAAATTGATGAGGGGCCAACTTACGCCGGGGTCCGACTAGCCCCGGTCTCCCCTAATTTGAAAGCATTTATAACATCATAAAAACCTTCTCTCTGACAACAAGGTGCGCTAGTAGTCTGTTACAAAATTATTGTATAATAAACTTCAATTTTTTATAGTACATGCATTTTAGAAGCCCTGAGGGTAATAAAACCCCACGGGTCTCAATCACACACTGTGAATCTGCAAAGTTCTGTTATTTCATCTCAGCAAAATTGAAGTCAATGCAAAACAGACCCATCCAATAGAAGCCAAGGATAAATGGCAGTTTTATTGAACCATTTATGCCAATAAAGGTAAAACATGAATCTCAGCAAAATTATTATTACTCAAATACACATCTGAATCATGCACATGTGCACACACACGCGCGCGCGTGCACTGGTACGTGCACAGTATATTGCACAAGCACAGAGTACAATTTAGCCTTTGACACAAGAGCTCCGAGTGGAGTAGTTTTCAATGAATGTCAACGTAAGCGACGCAGATGTGTCAACCTCAAATACCAATTTTTTTTTTTTTTTTTTTTTGCAATAAATCTACGTTCCACCAGATCCAAAGATGTTCCAAAATGAGCCCAATACACTTAAAGGAAGTTTAAATACCTCTCTACAGAGTAACAAGTTTGTAAAATTCAAGATTTCGTTGCTGTCAGTCACAAGCAGGTACCTCTGTCTAAACGGCCTTGACCTATAATCGTATTATTTGACTAGAGTCTATGCAAATCTAAGTGTGCACCTATTTAATTTTATTTGTTCACTATGGTTTTCTGTCGCAAAAGATGTCCTAAATAAATAAAAAAAATCACACTAGAATGACTTCATTTTATAGTTTGATATAGGTGTAAGTGTAGTTTGTGTGACTGCATTGAGGGGGTTAACAGTTAAGACAATTTTGAACGGTGACAAGTGGGTCGAGTCCATTCGATTTGAGGAATGACAGGTGGGACGAGCCCATTCTATCTGAGGGGTGACAGGTGGGGGCGAGTCCATACAATCTGAGGGGTGACAGGTGGGGCAAGTCCATTCTATCTGAGGGTTGGCAGGTGGAGCGAGTCCATTCCATCTGAGGGGTGACAGGTGGGGCGAGTCCATTCCATCTTAAGGGGTGACAGGTGGGGTCGAGTCCAATCAGTTTTGAGGGGTGACAGGTAGGGTGAGTCCATTCAGTTTTGAGGTGTGAAAGGTGTGGCGAGTCCATTCACTTTCAAGGGGTAATAGGTGGGGCAAGTGCATTCAGCTTAGGGGTTGAAAGGTGCGTCAAGTTCATCCAATTTTGAGGGGTTCCACGTAGGGCGAATCCATTTAGTTTGAGGGGTGACAGGTGTGGAGAGTTCATTCAGTTTTGAGGGGTGAGAGGTAGGTCGATTCCTTTCAGTCTGGAGGGGTCAAAGGGACGAATCCATTTAATTTGAGGATGGAAAGGAAGTTTCGACAGGTGGTGCAATGCCAGGTGGAGTGAATTTTTATGCTGGGGGCAATTATCATTATTGTATCATTCATTAAAAACAAAACAATTTATTTATTAGTTTATTTTCAAATCCTTGAAAACGTACTTAGATAATATTAAGATAGTACTAAAATGCCAAACATACAAAAATTTTGAACAAACAAAGGAAAAAACATTCAAACAGATGCACATACATTAAGACAGTGAATTGTCAAAAAGATGTGAAAACATTCAATCAAACAAACATGGCATTTCCACGATTTTATAGAAATTGCAATATTATTGACTGAACATTTAGGGCTATGTGGATTTTAAATTGGGCATACACATATATGAAGGAATAAGATATACTAAATATTTTTTCTCAAGAACATTTCAAAACATTGCAACTTCAGGTACCACAGAAAGTCGACAATATGAGCGGATTGTATTTGAAAGTGCCAAAACAGTTATTATCTTTTGATAGTCTTACTTCTTTCTATTGTCATTAAAATTATCATCATATTTTAATTTCATATCAAAATAGTAAAAAATTACTAAAAACGTATTTATTTGGTTTTATCATAATAAATACATAAATGGGCGTAGGGATCCTGGATGCGATCAAAGGGCTAAGTTTCTTGGAGGTGCATGCTGCGTAGTATCTCGCTGAGTTTCTGAAATGAGAAAAAAAGTTTGAGAAATTTTTGGCTCTCAATTAACATAGTATTTATGTATGATTTATCAAAGAGGAAGTACTTATGGCTGAAATTACTCAAACGGTTTGTCTGAATTTCATGCTCGGTTAGCACCGAAAAAATCCGGGATCGAAGTTGCCTTACTACGTTTGGCATAAAAATTAATCAAATGTCATTGCTTTAGTATTCCAAGAACGCAGATCTCAGCTAAGGCAACATCATTTTGACGAATTCCAGTGCAGAGTACAGTATGGCCAATTAATTGACTGACAAAATAATGTATCGGTTATAGCGCTCATAATTTGGATATAATTGCTATCGAGTCGGGATGTCATCCGAATTAGTCAATGTTTTTTGTCGCTTACCTTCACATTTAAAGTCTCAAATGGTATTTTACTTGTCCAGGGCCATACAAAAATGTTCAAGCAAAGCACAGTAAACTCAAGCAAAGCTAACTTTCAGGCACATTTTTTCGGCAGCCAACTAAGAACCCTGCTGTTCCTTTTGCTTTTAGTCCCAATGTATTGTAACACTTATCAAAAACCAATATATAATAATACTCTGGACATAACAAAAGGTTACACGATGTTACTTCTCTTTCTTCTACATGCACGTCTTTGGTACTTATAAGCATTTTATTCAATACAAAAAAGAAGTATATGGTATTGGATAACGGAGGTAACTGAAGAAGCAGTGATACTTACAGGACATTTATTTCCTTCTACGCCTAATCAAAGCTCGACCTTGAGAATTCGCCAGACATATCCTTGGGTCTTCACTTTACGTCGTCCAACTGCAAAGTGACTAATTTGGAAGACAGCTCGCATTACGTTGAGCAACGTATTGTTATGCAAATAACTACAGATATGGTGAGAGATTGTTGCTTGGATGGTTGTTGTTCACAAATTTTACGGTCAAAACATGTATGGGCTGATGTCCACTTGTTGTTGAAATAAAATAATTTTTTTTTCAAAAAAACGTACGAGGAAGCCCCCCATCATGCACTTAAATATTCCCGCGATTCTCGAATCTCACAAAAAGTCAACACTAGGGGGAGATCGCTATCAATATATCCTCTAACACAATCAAAGTATTTTTATGTTGACTTAAAAACGCAAATCTAATAAATCAGCATTCTTCCTATGCAGTGACAAATTCCTGGTCTTAACCAGGTCCATGCTAAAAAAGGATTGCTTCTTAATGATTATAAGAAAAGTCCGCACATCTTGTGTTATAGCACTGCACAGGCTCAAAAGAAATTGCAGAATGATTTAGACTTGCCGAGACAAATCGGTATAGGATGATTTTCAAGCATTAATGGTAAAAAGAACAAACTTATTTGCCAGTTTCACAAAGAAGTTTATTCTAACATGTGAAAAATATGTTTGCATAATTCAGGTGAATGTCGTTATGAATCATTAAATCTTTGTACAAAATAAAAGATATGTGCTCAGCTTAAACTACCATGTACACAAACTTCTCACTTAATAAAAAACATGAGACAGAAAAATTCTAGATTATTGCAAGTATATTATTAGAAAGAGAATAAAATTTCAGCATGGCAATAAAGCTAAATTACTGCAATGCTTAAGTGATTGGTGTTAACAGTTTTTTCGTCATAAGCTATGGTAATTGATCAACCATTAAAAATATGCACAAATCCATTACGTCTACCAGCTCACTCGGTTCCAAATTCCCTTCACCAAATGAATTTTTAAAACATCATCTCAGGAAATTATGTTCTCAATATAGCACAACCAATTGATAACTCCCATTTTTGTCTGTCACCCGTAATTTGTTTGAATCACGATACAAGATTTCGTCGGGAAGTGGGAGAAGTAATCACAGTTCCTCAGTTCGATCCACAAAATACATAACATTCAATTAACAAGCTTGAAACTTTTCTTCGATTCGCCCAATGCATCGTTCGCAGTCTTTTCCTTTCCAACGTCGTCCTTTCGACAGCAAGTGCAGAATTTGTTTTGGCTCCACTGGTAGAAGTATTTCCCTTGACCAAACACTTTGGCGCAGCAACTATCGCACGTGAGATACCAGGTTACACACTGGCAGGGCTGGGTCAGAGTGACCTCATTCTTCTCGGCGCAAGGGTCGACGCATTCTGTAAAATACACGTCTATTTGTTAATTGCCAGCCCACGTATAAAAATGGAATCAGACACAGTATGGGAAAAAAACCCAAATACTATAACATACATTTGTATTCGTTAAGTTATAACCACACACACACAAAAAAAAAAAAAAATAAATAAAATAAAATAAATAAATAAATAAAATAAAATAAAAAAAATACAGCATGGCAAAAAATCAAAATTACTGCGAAGTAAATTGCTGAACAAATTTTCTTCGTCGTAAGGCATGGTTATTGATCACCTATTTTATATATATTCAATTTCCTATCTTGTTATTCATTATTCGACTTTTTATTTGTTTTCATTTTGTTATGCTAATCTCACGGTCTTACGTAAAATAATCAAATATAATAAAATAACATACGCCCATTGCTCTGTGGCATATACAAGTATATCACGACAAGGAGCAGGATATGTCTGATCAAGCTCATGTTTCTTCAACAATACCTGAAAATAAAAAGAAGTATCACGATTGAGACGAGATTTTGAGAAAGTTCTTCTCTCTCTCTATCCCCCCCCCCCAAAAAAAAAGGAAAAAAACGTGTGAACGCAAATTAGCTGAGAGTCGACTTTTATTCTGCTATGATTTAAATGCCACGCACGGCTACATCCCCTCCTCCAGAAAAAAACTCAATGTAACTGATTTACTGACTGATATAAACTCACTAATCTCGCTAACCGGGTAACCGAAATTAAAAACAAGCCAATAAAGACTCGTAATAAACGATGAAGAAGGTCTACTTTGTCTGTCTTCTGCGATTCTCTCTTTCAAGACTCAATCGATCTGGTTTATAATGACGGTCTCAAGAGGGAATGAGGCCGCGGTGAAAATTTTTCGATCAATACCAGAGTGAGGAAGGACGTCAATTCGGCCTCCTTTCCATAACTAGAATAACATCAATATATACAGCCAGAGAAAAGCATTGCCAAGATGGCGTTGCTCGGATAATATATCCAGACATCTTTTTCTTCATGATTCAAACTGCGACCAGTTTTTAAGAACGAAGCCGAAAAGCACAAATAATTGAGCATATGAAAATTACCATGAGATGAGAGTCAGAGGTCCACAGGAAACTACGAATTCTGAAATTATCTTAGCAAAACGTCCAGCAAGCACAGCATAAGGATCAAGACTCACGATGAATAATTCCGGGAAGTCATAAAACCTATCAAGCAGTGGATTTCTATACTTTTGATATCTTGGCAGCGAAAAGCAAGAAGGGCTGAGAGCAGTGACTTTTCAAGCCCATCCAAGGACTTCTTTTATTGGTAATGACATTAACTGAAATACAATGGAATATTCATTTGAAAGCAGCAGTCCAGGGCCATGTTTCAGCATTGGGAAATTTTTGTCACAGTTTTCAGATTTGTGCGGTGAATTTGGAACTTACATTGCGCCAACGTATCGCCATGACAGATGCGAAAGGTAGGGGCCCATGAATCTAAACTTGACATATCTTAATGGCAGATACTCGTATGATTAATCCAATTATAGGCCCCTACTTGTCGTTTTTCAAAAAAGAATCGAATTGTATGTTGGTTTATATATAGCTAATGTAATATATGATTCTTTGAATTAGCCACGAACAAAGAATGTCTATGACCCTAATGATAGCTTTATATATTAAGCATTCGACTTTTCGTTTGGCTTCTTTTGTGGTAACGTGAACACCTGTTCATTGTCGATAATTAGAGTTTAGCGCTAAGCATTCAAACATAAACTTTTACCATAAAAAAACATCGAATTGTTTCTCACTCTTTGACATAATGTCATAAAATAAACTATAGAATACATGAAAATCAATTAACAAAAGCAAAAACATAGTGAGACACAGTAATTACTTGTGCCTTCATCAACTGTATAAAAACGTCAAAACGCTCCTAGATGACCTAGTTTTGCTCTCGTATTGCAAACGTGCGCCCCCTAACAGCGGTGAATGGTCGACCGGAAGTTTACAAATCGCCATCAATTTCCAACTTGGCTATGAGCATGTATACTCCTCCAAAATTTACTAATACATACCAATTTGGTGAAAACGATATGTGATAAAGCTTCAGCAAAATGATTCCAGAGATCGAGGCGTAAGTATGAGGCAGATTGCCAACTGATTTGTATAGATCTACGTGTAGGCTAAGTCCAGACGATCTGCCTTATCAAATATCAATTTACTTGGTTCTTTAACAAAATTTGCGACTACAATTTATAGCTATCAAAGGATCAGGACATCAAAACAATCTGCTGATATTAATTTAGGTGTAATGATGCTGCTAGCGATTAAATTACACGTGTAAATGTACACATGTAGGCTAACTTCCTTTCGATAAGTTGCTTAGTAATTTCCTTTAATTAAAATATTCACCTTTTACTATTTATCTTATTTATTTAGTTCATCAGTGAGAGGTTCATTAACCACACTAATAACCTGTATTTTGAAATAGTAATTGCTTTACCTTTACATGTAAGCACCACTGGTAGGCTGTACTTCCTTGTTACCTCCAGTTTCAAGTGTATTTTACTCCATTCAGATCAATTCTACCTCCTCCAGTTGAAGAGGAGTCTGTAATTTACAGTTTAATTTTTTGTCTAAAACAGGCCCAAATGCCCAAAAGTTTTGTTTGAGGGTTAGATTTAAGAACTTAAACCTACCAAATTGATATTGTTTTCCACTCTCCTAAAGTTAAGATATTATTTTGGTACATGTTAAGACCTACAGATAATTTATTAAATGGTACAGTAAAATCTCTTTTTTTTCCACCCAGTGGATTAAGATTTTAATAATTTGATATAACATATTTAAAACAAAGGATAAATCTGTTTTTTGTTTAGGTTTCAGTGGAATGCATTCAAACACTGTACTAAATAATTTAACCGTAAAAAATAATCTTTATATCCAGCACAAAAAAACAGAGCATTCAGACATTAACATTGATTTTAGTATTATAATCTGTGATGTTAACAACGCGGGTTATGCCAAATGCTAGTAAGATAAGCTGGACCAAAAAAATTTGAAAATTTTCAGTTTTTGATCATTGTTTTTGTTTTCGTCCAATACATTGTTATATCCTGGTGGCTCAGGGGGCTAGAATGCTACAAATTTTTTATGATAGGTTTTATTTATTTATCTTAACAATTACTTTATTCCATTACTTTCATTTAAAACATTTCAGGTCTGTACAGATGCGCCTCTATACTCTTAACAAGCGGCAGTTTGTATTGGTATTTGCTGCATTCTTTCTGTGCTTTCTTCTCACAGTATTTATAGGACTGGCAGGTAGGTACCTTAGAATTGTGATAAGTTTGTAATATTGCAAGTTTAAATATCAAGGTAAACAATTTGTGAAGAAGTGATCATTCTCAAAGGAATGATTATCCTGACAAAATGGAATTGGTTTTTGCAATTAAACCTATCGCTGAAATTCATTTTATCCTCATTTATATACCTTAGAGGTGATTTGCAATTTTAATTGGTTTTTGTTTTACAGGACCATCTGTTATTGAAACATCAGAGACATCTGCTGCAGATCTAAATCCAAAACCAAATTTACAGGTATGGGTCATTCATTTAGCTTATGTCAGGTCGAAATTAATTTTATCAGAAAAAGTTTTAAAATGTTATCCTTGTTCTGCCGCTAAGTCAGTAACATTTCATGCATACAACCACACATTGATTTTTTAGCATTCTAATATATGGGCTAGCTAACTTCCATTTTTATATCTTTATACTTTCTCTAAATGATTTTGTTATGAAAATAGTATTTTTTCAAATAATATTTTGCAGACTGGCCCTTTTATCTTGCCTTCTTCATTAATGTCAACATTTCACCAACAGCTGTGGTTGATCGCACAAATACAAATCAACTCTACTGGTGGTAAGGATATATTTCCATTATAAACTCAGTGCCATTTTAATTAAACCACCAGTTCACTTTTTGTCGCATTAATTATCCTATGGTTGCATTTTTTAAAAATTAAGAACATATTTTTGTGTCTATACAAGCGTGAATTGACAGGATGAAATAACTACCTGCATAGCTGTAGAAGTTCAGATTTCTTAAACAGCATTGCTGTAATTTTATGATAAAATATCATTTCCACATTTCTCCAGTTTATTTAATGTAAAAGGAAACGGTACCCTTATCCATCAGTCTTATAAACCAAAGTGATATTTATAACACTTATAAATAAATCTGCCCTCAAGGGTACTCAGGTTTCAAACAAATCATGATAAATTCAGGAGTCTTGCCAACCAGTGTCTGTGTTGATTGCTAAGGCAAAGAAATAAAAATATAATACTAGTATGCGTATTATTGTAGATGTTGAAGTACACACATCAAGTCCCTTTATGGTTGGTGTACGGATAGCAGGCTTGAAGAGTCATGGGGTGAAAGATCTGCTCTTGGATGGAACCATGCATAACAGGTCCAGGGAACTGAAGTGTACAGGACAGGTGTGTGTCATGTAATGTGTTTTCTGTATCTGCAGAGGAAATATCTATTTTATCAAGGAGTTACAGACAATAACTGCCATGGGGAAGTTAACCTTTGGGTTTTTGTCTGGGAGTTTGTGCGTGTGTTTGTGTGTGTGTGTGTGTGTGTATGTGTGTGTGTGTGAGAGAGAGAGAGAGAGAGAGAGAGAGAGAGAGAGAGAAATAGAGAGAGAGCATCTTTATCTGGCATATGAGACTCATGTTTTTAGATCTGTGCTTCTCACTTTATTCTCGTATTACCAAAATAATTAGATTTTTTCTTTACTTTTTAATTTTTATTTTTTGTCATTGTGTGTCATATCCAGCAGTGTGGTTACTACAATTCTAATGATTGACAAAAATCTTGGTATTGGAATATAGACCATGGTCATGTGTTTTAAAGCAGCTGTCTGTAAAGTAAAATCTGTGTTATTGACATTTTTTTATGTTCCAGACTTGTGATGAGCTGAACATGTTACACCTTGGTTACCTTGACTACAGCAGATACGTTGTTACTATATATTTCTTTGGATTAGAGAAACAAAAAGTTTTACAAATTAGAGATGTGAAATTCCAGGTAAATTCATATTTGAATCTCTGATTGAATTCCACGTTCAAACAAACTGTTATCTCACTGTTTTCATCTTCTTGAAAAGAAAAGATAGAATGTTTGGTAGGATAGAATAGTTTTTTTGCAGTCACGCTTCACTTGCTCATTTTGTGTATATCAAAAGGATTTGTCTTACTGGGAATTCAGACCATTATCCATGTTATTTAAAGTAATATAAAGAAAATGGTGAACTGTTGTTGATATTCCATTGATAGTCTACTATCCCAACATGCATCTTCCTTATTTTCTTTCCAGTTCAAGAGCTACAATCCCACATTTACACAGATAGAGATCTGGTTCCGCTTTGTTTTCTTGTTGATAACTTTCTTAGCTACAGTAAGTATATTATTGGCTGTGTTGTAGATGTAGAGGCATACTTAAGTTTAGATTAGCAATTTAAGCTTCAGAATTGTTAAGAATGTAACAATGTGGAAATGTTGACTTAAAAAAAACATATTAAGGCAAGCTTGGAAAAAAGGTAGATTATGTACATTGGTTACATTTTTGATGTTTAATGATGAGATTTTACTTGCTTGGAATGGACTAAAAATGAATCCTGATTGTTGAAACTGCCTGTTGATTAGGTACAAGGTAATACACTGTCACCTGAGTGATATATTCCTGTGTCAGCAAGGGGTGTTCAGGGCACATTAGAAGTACATACTAAGAAAAAGCACTCACATTTCACTGAAACCCCTAAGACCAAATAAAGCATATATCACCATAACATCTTTAGGTATGTATCACAATTGAACTTTGCTTAGTTTAGTTATACCCCATCATGATTGAATGTGTTATATTATTTTCAGTGTGCATTTGCCCATTCACTGAGAAGGTTCACAGTGCGGGACTGGTCCATGGAGCAGAAGTGGATGTCAGTATTGATGCCCCTGTTGTTACTCTATAACAGTAAGTTTTTGGTCATGAAACTTGGAGTTTTGTGTTAGGAAATGTTGCCCTTCTAAATGTTTGCTAATGAAATCTGTTGTTGGATTTTTTAAAGAAATTTCAGTTTTTAGTATTTTAGTAGAAGAAAAATTTGCAGATCAGTTTAATACATTTTTAATCATTTGAATGAAAAGAAAAAAAACTTTAAAATTTTTTCGTTTTCATTTTTGTTTTTGCACTATCAGTTTAGTGAAATATTTTGCAAGGTCAAATAAGAAAACATATTTTTCTACTATTTTAAAAAAGAAAAGTAGTTAGTATAAATGTTTAATTACTTTGCCCTTTTTTTGAGAAGAAACATGTCTGAAATTTACATACTATTTATGTCAAATCTTTCAGATCCTTTCTTCCCATTGACATTTCTGGTGGAGAGCTGGATCCCTGGCATGTTTGATGCCATATTTCAAGCGTCATTTCTGTGTGGTTTACTACTGTTCTGGTTGTGCTTATATCATGGAGTGAGACAGGCAAGTTACAGTTATCAAAGAAATAGATAGATAAATGAGAAAAGAAGGTATTAAGAAATAGTTATATTCGGATGTCTAAGTTTTATAACTTTATATATTTGATGATAGTGCTTATGATGGTTTTTGTAACATTTGTGATAAAATTGGAAGATGACATGTAGATAAGTTAATTTGCTTACTCCTCATTCAGCATACTTTAATATACACCTGGGAAAGCGCAATTAATTCAACAGTACCTATAAACATCATTTAAAGCTATAAACTAAAGTTAGATGTTGATTCACTTCAAATGTTTATAGGGAAAGTTTCTAGCAATTTTCTTTCCAGAACAAACCTAAGATGTAACTAATATATATTTAACAGACATCAATCTTATGTCTTTCTTTTGGTTGGTTTTACAGACAAAAAGACATTTCTGTTCTTTCTACTTGCCTAAACTGGTTGTTGTTGGATTGATATGGATCTCAGCAGTGACTTTGGCATCCTGGCAAGCTTATAATGAACTACAAGATCCCACATATAACTACTCACTGGATACTGCCAACTATTTGGTAACTCATGTTTAAACAGACATTATTTATTTATTTATATAACCACCTTTAAAAGATGAAAGGAAAAAAACAGCAAATGAAATGAATAAATTAAAATGAGATGAAATAAAATGAAATGCATAAAAATTACACAGCGTATATAGAAGACGGTTAAAAAGATTTTAAAAGTAGTCCCACAAGCATGTATTCCTGATTGCCTGTCTGAGATATACTTCCTTTTGATGTGTAGATCAAACTTATCTTAATATCAGTGAAATTTGAAGATGTCAGATCTAAAGAAAAGTCTCTTTGGTGGCATTTAGTCTAGGGTTGATATTTCATCATTTATTTAAGCTCTGTGTGTTAGAATATGATTGTAATAATTATATGATGTTAATCATATAAGTATTTCTTAAGTGATGTGAGTCTAGTTGTAAAGAGAAATTAAGTGTTCAGTATTGTGAAAATGTATTGAATACAGGTCTTAAAAGTATCAGTGAGTACATTGTTAATGATTTTTCTTTTCTTTCTTTTTCTCTTCAGGGATTTCAAGTATTTTTCTACACAATTGGTGTTGTGTACTTATTGTACCTTATATTCTTATTAATAAGAGCTTACGCAGAACTAAAATCCATGCCTTTCTTTGGTAAGTAAAAGAATTTCCTTCCATAAAAAGCAGAGATCACCTTGTTTTGTTTATATGATGAAAATATAAATTAAACAAGAATTGACAATATATCTTGGGATTTAATTTCACTGTCATTATCTTATTATTCCCTGTCCTTTGACACACATGGTCAGAATGTCAAATTTTAATTTCAATTTACATTTTTAAATTACTTAAGTAGTTCATTTTTAAAACCATGAATTTGATAACAGGTCATAAATATTATGAAGAAATACGATGTAGAAAACAAACCCCCCATATTTTCACCTTATGACATTTCAGATTTGCGTCTTAAGTTTATGACAACATTAATGTTGATAGTTCTTGCCATCACTGTTGCCATAACAGCACTACGATTTGGCACCAATATATCCCAGGATGCTGTTGTGACTGGATCATCGATCCACTATCAGTCCAGTGCCGAATTCTTGTCCTTCTATGGATTGCTGAATTTTTACCTGTATACCATGGCTTTTGTGTACTCTCCATCCAAGAATGCTTTAGTTGGTAAGTGTTTTTATGGTATACACATCTAAAAGTTATTGTTGCCCAATTTGTTTTGGTGAAATACAAAATGGTTAAATTAAATTACGAGTTTTTATGTAATTTTTACTTTCAGTGGTAATTTGAATTACAATTCATTTATTTGATATATTGATATGACAGAATAAGAAAGAAGGGTGGAATGGTACAATTAAGGTAAGGTTATGTTTCTAGGAGTAAAAAATATCTATTGTTTATTTTGTAGAATCCCATTTTCGAGATAACCCTGCTCTCTCCATGTTGAATGATTCAGATGAAGATATCGTGTATGGGTAAGTTTAATATGTTCTACGCAGGAAAGTGCTTTATGCTTTAGTATTTCTTTACATTTTCTCTTGAGTTATATATTTTTCAGTTATGTTTTTTATGATCTGTTGACCAGTTTAGCCATAGATAATACATAAAGTTGATTGATATTTTACAGAAATATTTTGTTGCAATTTTTGGAAATGAATAATTACAACTTGTCTAGCATTGTAAAGACAAAATTCAATTAAATAATATTAATCTCCATATGGAATTGCTTGGGATACATAGATACATCTTTATTGTAACTGAATCTTTTAAAAATGATTCTGTTCTGTTATGACCTCCAGTTTATGATTAAATACTATGAAAGAATTTAAATATGTTATGAAATATTTTTCATCATTTGGATATATTTATTTTGTACAACAGGTCTGAATATGAGGAGACAGCACTGAATGGCAGACCAACAAAACCTACTAGGGACTCCAGATAACAGAAGAAATCGAGAAATAATGAAGCTCTGTAGTAATATCTTCAGTTTCCTTTTATTATACAACTGGATTAATTTACCAAAGGTGCAGATACCATATACCTATTATCCATTTTTCCATAAGAAAAAAACTGAAAGCAGGAATAGGAGGGACTTGGGTGTCTATATTGGCTCTTAAGACTGTCCTCTAGTCAATTTATTACACCTGAACCTCACCTGGCAGATTCTATGAAGATGTGACTAAATTTTTTAAATGCCATTGTTTCCAGCAGCTGATAGGCCTGTGTATTTATGTTTGAATGGTGCCAATCTATCAAAATATTAGTAAATCCATCATCAGTTCTTGGGGCCATTTTATTTTATTGTTCTAGGTAGTTTACGGTCCCATATTTATAGTTTTATGGTCCCCATGTTAATCTTTCAAACAATCAAAATATTAGTGAATCTGTGACAGCATAAGTTATGAACATCTAGTCTTATTTATAGTGGTAAACCCATTTTAATATTCCAAAGCAGTGTTCCAGTCCATTAGGATCTCTAATTACATTTTTTTTATGTATGGAGGACTCACCTTTTATTGCAAACTTACATGTTTCCACCATGCTCTGGTGTCCAGTGCAGGAGTAATGAGAAGTATTATGGGTGGGAGGGCAATTTCTCCCTGATGAGTTCCATCCTCAGTGTGCAAATCTAGTCAAAGTTGGGTGGGCCAGGCATGAGAACAGCTGTCACTTTTCAGGGAGGACTGGGTAAAGAAGTAATCTTTCCCCCCTGATTAATTTGTATAGACAGCTGTCACATTTTTTTCCTGCATATATTTATATTATTGGAGTTTTAGGACAGTTGTGTTATCTGCAAGTTTAATAGCAAGGTTGATTTTTTTTTTTTCACAATTTCAGGTGTTTATTTTCTGTTTGTTTGGGTTTTTTTACAAGTTTGGGCATATAATTACTACTTATGGACTCTCCCTGTGGACTTTTGGATGTTCCCTTAATCTTGTTTTTGTTTTGGATAAAACAGCATATTCAATGTGGGGGATTTCTGTATTTTTATGTTACTGCTGTGTTCATGATCACATCATTACATAGATAAAATATAGATATAAATATAGACATTAAGTATAATATTAATATATACAAGTTTTTACAGTTTCTCAGTTGAGATATGTTATTTGATGGTTTAAATGCCAGTAGTTTTAAGAAATGTTGATTGATAAACACCTTTATTGGAAGAAATTACCTCTTGATTGCAATCATTATTAATCTACATTTGGAGAAATTGGGAAGGGCATATAGATGTATTCAAGAATATAAATAAGTGTGTGATTTATTGATTTTAGTGGATTTTGTTATTATAGCCACGAGGAATGGTGCAATATTTAAAAATGAAATGAAACTGAATAAATAATTATGAATTAAAATATACTCCCATCATTTATCATTCAATTTTTAACAATATGCTTTTGAGTCAATTCAAAAAATATAGTAAACTGACATTAAAAAAAAAAAAGTTATTTGAACACTTGATTTATTTCTGGAATCCATCAGTTTTCCAGTATTTCTCAGTCACTTGGCTCAAAACTTGATTGTGCTTATCATTTGAAAGAAGGATGGCAACAACAACAAGAACAAATATACAACACACACACAAGGTTCGTCGGTGGGATAAGTTTGTAATTTATTTAACTTCAGTTATCTGGAATGACCCCTCCTCCCTAGTTGTCCAAATTGCAGTAGACAACCTCTATTACAGTGAAATTGCAGGAGAGTCGCACCTCCAACAATGAAATTGCAGCAGCGAACGCCTGTCACAATCAAATTGCAGCAGCTGTCACTCCTACCACAACTGGCCTGGCACTACAGGCAAAACCAGACCAAAATATATATATGTACAAGTTAATAATTGGTTATTATGCATCTTTCATGAGCATAACCCGTTTTCAGCAGTTTTGACCACTTACAAAGTTAGAGCACTTTATTTGAGTTTATTATTAGGTGATACAAAATGTTATAGTATGAAAAAAAAAAGAAAAAACAGAATAACAGTATAATAACAAATGGATCAAACACCAAAATTCTTTGGTGGTAAATAACAATAATAACAGTTGAATATTTGCATATCATGAGATTCTTTTTATGCAAAGTCTCATGAGGTATAAAAAAATAACACTGGCAAGATGCTTTTTTTCTGTGTTGATGTCCTTCTCTTCTAGAAAATATATATTTTTTATTTGTGAAGCTTCTGATAAGACTGCAGACTAATTTGCAATTAATTTAGTTAAGTCTACACAGACCAGAAGATGGGAGGTCATTTTCTGATACTGTAAAATACTTTGATTTACCCTTTTTGAGGACGACTGGATAATACTAGCTCTACTTGCATAACTCTGAACTATTTTGAAAGTTTTGAAATGTTTGAGATAGTTATAACTCAAACCCAAAAAGAATTGATTATAATTAGTGATATGCAATTTGTATAAGTTAATCCACTCCACTAACTGACATTAAAAATTGTGGTATAAAAATATAAAAAGAAATATTTTGTTAATTTTTTTGTATTAAAAACAATATTTCTAAAGGTTTCTTGCAACCTACAGAAAAGTCCATTAAAAAGTTGTTATTACTTGTCATTGCATAGAAGGTTCATAAAAGCACATTGGCATGCAGTGATATCACATGTTCGGAGGTTTTGCATTCCAAGCTATTATTAATCAACAAATCGAGTTCTCACCAGAAGCAGACACAGTTTTAGTAGCTCTAAGCTGATCCTTGTTGGTTAGTAATATAATCACACTGAGAGGAAACTTGCAGTGAACTTCATTTATTGAGTACAAAGTTATATGAAATTACAAAAAACAAAAGGAAGAAAATAAGACAATATTATTGCTTTCACCCTAAAGCAATGTTTGTTGTTAATTGCTTTCATAACTTTCCCTTCCAACTATAATGGCTAAACGATGAGTATTATACAGTAAATAGTAACCAGATTAGTATAGTAGTATATTAAGGTTTTTTCAGATCTAACAAAGGGAGGGAGTTTACAGTCTTCCCATTCTCATGAAATAAAACAAGAACGAACTGTCTTGTCTCCCAATTGGTGCAGTGTCTACAATGCATCAGCCAAAAGTAACTTCCAATGCACACTGAGATTCAATTAGTTAGAACCTGTACTCTCTAAATCCGCAAATACACCCTGTTTTCTTTTCTTCTCTTTCTGCTTACAAGATTCGAAATATTTTTTTTCTTTTTCTTTTTGTAAACTCCCTTTGCTCCAACATAAAAGGTGATACAAACTCTATCGAGTATTAGAATCAATTCTCTGGACTCAAAAGTAAAAAAAAAAAAATGCAAGAACAGTGAGAGAAAACTAAAAATTTGCATGCGCAACAAGATGTATATGTACAGTGCCTTCAAATCAAAGGCACAAAAGGGTTCCATTTTTGTTGTTTTACAACAGCATGTGAAATTGCATAGACTCTTTTTCTGTAAATCCAAAAATATCTTGGTCATTGGACGGCGTTTTGTGCACAAGTGCCAAAAACGGTGAAAAAACATTTTTCACACCTTCGTTGAATTTCTCTGAACCATCAAAATAGAAATTTCTCATCAATCCACAAAATGGTCCAACAGAACTTATTAAATCACAGATATTCAGCAGATTCAGCTAAATGACAACATCAATTTAGGAGCAAAGGGTGGGTGCACTATATGATAATAATAATAATTAACAGTTATGTTAGTATATTATGCTTAATAAGTCATCCACTTAGATGGTTATACACAAAAATAATGTAATAAATCATCATGGGATGTATCAGTAAATGGGAAGAAAATAAGTAAAACATTATGATTATACTAGTAGTTATTATACCATTTAGCAAAATAAACTAGTCAAAATAGTCCCGTGGCAATTCAGGTGACAGCAGTAAACCAGTCAGACTTTTCCTTTTTCCGGAATTTTTTCGCTTTTGGACTTGCCTCAGCACCCAAATTGCAACCAGAGGGCCACTTGGAAATGATGAAAAACAGTGCATACATCACATGCATTATGTTACTACAATCAGTTTGAAGGCACTTTTAGAAGGTACATTAACTTCACAGTAAGGTTCCAGGGGTGCTATACATCAATTTGATGGAGCAAGCAAGTTGAGTTGAGGTGATGGTGGTTTGGACTGTCCGAAACTCCCGACAATGCATCAAGAGAAACTGGCCATTTCTTGTCTGCTTCACAAATGCCAAGCAGATGTTGTGCATGCAGTTCCAATTGACTGCTATGCAACCAGAGTGTTTTCTTTTTTGTTTTTGTATGTTTTAAAGACAAACGTTCCTTTTGATGCAAGTAGGAGCTCATTACAGCAACCACTAGTTACACTGGTAAACATAGAGCATGTTTCTAATATTATGATATACATATATGAGAATTATAATGGTAAATGCATACTTTTCGCTATCATGTTCGAATAATACCAAGTTCTACAAGTTTGCTTTGTCCAAAATATACTTTTTGAGAAAATCAAACCTAACTACTTTGGTTTTCTCAAAGGCTGCAAGTGGACAGCAGTTTCTTTTGTTTTGATAAAAATGTCAGTTGTGGAGCAAAGTCCATTGCTTACAAGCAGTGAAATTCACCACATAACCAACAAAAAATTATGCAATAATATGTACATGTGAGAAAACTCATTTGTCAGAAAAATTTTTCAAAACGCATAATTGTCAAAACGAATTCTATCAATTACAAACTAGACTAAATTGATATTATGTCTGTGCAGCACAGGTGAAAATAAATTTGTTGCAGCAGTTTTCAGTTTCCTTTCTTTTCCCAATTAGTTTGGGTTTTGGAAGACTGTTGTAAAAATTTCTTTAAGATTTGGCATACATGATTTGTTGTCGTTGTTCTGTGACCTTTGTGTAAGTACCAGCTACTTTCATACCTATTCTACTGCAAGACTTATCTAGTATTTAAAAAAAACTACTTTATAACAAATATATTGATAATACTTGATGGAAAAAAAAATTAAACGGAATATACAAAATAATTGCCATCAACATCTTGACGTGATACTGGGGTAACTGCATAGTTTACATCTCAAAAATAATAATAATAATTAAAACGTTTTTTGTTCTGATAATGTCAGATCAGTTCAAAGGCGGGACTGTTGTATATTAAACAATACAACTGAATCAAAAATGAAAGAATCTCTGCAAGGCGGTGGTGATCATTTAAGGCATAAAAGTGAATGCAAGTTTAGTATGAATGTTCCCTCATACTACCAATTTTCTTCCGAGCATTTTAAAAAACATCTGTGCCAGGATGCCCTCTGGATCCATACGCCATTTTGAAATACAAATTAATGATATGAGGCTTTAGCAATCACTGGGCATTAAAAATTTCATCAATAAATCTTGCAAAAGAAACTGAGGAAGTGTACAGGAGTAAAAGAAACAAAATTTTGAAAAGATCCCCAAATTCTAAACCCATAAAAACATATATCAGCACTTATAGAAAAAAAAACTTTAAAATAGAGCTCGCATTGAAATCCGAACCTCGCACGATTTCAATCATGGTGTAAATATGTAATCAATGGGGAGCAAACAATTACTGAACAAAACTTCAAAATTACACTACTACTTCATAGCTTAGATGGGAGTTAAAAGCTGATGAGTGCAGATAGCTTGCAAGTGCCATTAATCTGGGATCCAGAAAGCATCCAATCTACGATAATAGCCGACAGATGAAACCAAAATATACAGCATTAAAAATAATGAATCAAAACATAAAAAGGGCAGTTAATAATATCATTACAACCACAGCTTCAGCCAAAATGCAACAATAATAATAATAATACATATTAATCAGAATTATATACAAAACCAATTACCACTGCTAATGAGGATGATGTATGTGCTAATAATAATGATAATAATAATAATACAATCTAAGGGGTTACAGGTAAATATAATGTGGAAGTAGTAATTATAGTAGTAGTAGTGATAACCTTTGATAATTTCATCGACAACAAAATATCCAATTGCATTTTGCATTAACAACAACAACAGTTAGTAACATATTAGTCACAATGACACTTGTAGTAGACTTTCATTATTATTATTAATACAGGCACTTAACTGCTGGCTGATCTAAGCTCAACATGGACACTCCTCAGTCAAGACTCCATTAAGTAGAGTTAATAGTTCGTACTTGGTGGTTAGTGCGATGCATGGTAGGTTGGCGGGTTCTCCCCCTTTGCCTGTGCGTGGGCGGGCCCCAACAACAACAACGACGCCTGGCATACATACGCACTTTTTTTTTTGTTTCGCAGCAGTTTGGTGTCAGATGCAGTGCAGACGGCACGACAGATGGCAGCTAACCCCCAAAAGTTACATACGCAGTCAGTCTATCAGTTCAGGGAAATTCGGAAATCCTAGATGTGTGACTCGGGAGGTAGTTGTTAGTGCCCAGTTGCTGTCGAAAGGTTAAGTGTAAAAAAAGAGAGAAAAAATAGAAGGTTAGTCATGTCTGGCAAATAATCATAATGCATACACAAGTATTGGAATGAATTAATAATGATGATAACTAATACATGAGTAATAAAAAAAAACCTCATGTTATTAAACTTACAATGATTATTATTATGCTTTGCTAAGATCTTCACCAGTGAATTGCATTAATCAATTATGAGTGCATCATAAATAACATGCAATAGCAGTTGAAATAATTTTCATGCCCGAGTCAAGAAACTAAGCAAAATTTTCCAGAAACGTACGACTACAGTAAAATTCCCTCTCCATCTGCAAGTTCCCATAACTACACAGGTAGATGACTACAACAAGGCAAGCATTCTATATTGAAAGTCCACTGAAGTCTATATACAAAGGCATGACATTGGTGAAAGAAGCTTTGTGTGTGGGAAATATACATTAGTCAAGGCCAAATAAAATATCCATATAAGTTAGTAAACTGTGAGTAACTGACATTTATTTAAGAATACAGGATCTCAGAAATGAAAATTAAAATCAAAACGTGACTTTTGTTCTATTTTATCTTGGGAACTTTTATTTGATTCAAAATATTCATAACAATTGTTCTTTTTATAGCCCACTATATAGAGCTTCGTGTGCTCATAAGAAAAATATAACATTTCAATGATAACAGATTTGCTGTCTTGATAGTTTGTGAAGCAAAAATAATTCAACACATTTTTCTCATCTTTCTTCTCAAGCAGAGATAAATTGAGGTATAGAAGATGGTCTTATGAATACTGAAGAACAACCATCAACTTGATGGAATAAAATGACTTCCAGTGCAAATTACAACTGGAGCGTAATGTAAACACCAGCGAAATACTATAATCTACCTGCCTCTTCAACAATAATAATAAAAATTGTATATATATATATATCTATATATCTGATTCTATAACAGTGTAGCTACAAAATTGTATGCGATAATCTTAATGAAAAAGTGCAAAAAAAATTTAATGTATATAGAAAATAAACATCTTTCTGCATATTTTTTGTAAAATCTCATACTGGATTTCTTGGAAGCGCCTGTCATATAAAACATTTATCTATACAATCCCAAACTACAAGGCTGACAGCGCAAGGTCTTCACAAATGATTACCCTTAACTTGCTACCAGAACATATATACAATGGATTCTCAGAGACCATTTAAAAATAGTACTAAAAAGATAATTGTACAAAACAATAAGACAAATAACTAGCATGTATGTATGCATGTACTGAAATTATATCCCATATAAAATAACAATAAATCACAATTGTATAGAGATAGTTGAAAAGGCTGTACCTTGAGTAGACTCAGCAATGCAGGTCAACATACATATTTAACTATACAATGGAACTTGATGTAACCTACTTCTTGAACTGATACTAGGATGCTATTTTTTTTAAATGATACAATTTCTTCATAGAAATTTGAAAAAAAAAGTTTTAATACACTTAACCAGCTTATTCTTGATATGATCAATTACCTAAGCTAATTGACAAGGGCAAAAACATCATTCTAGCACGAGTCCAAAAATCATATATGGTATCATCACACCGACATACATTTGTAGAAATATAATAAAGCACCTTATGATTGACTGCAATTCTTTATAGCAATGGCTGTAGCACACATACTTACCTACCCAACTTTGCCATCAGGAATGTTAAAATCAATCACACCACACTGGGTTACTACCGCCCAAAACTATGATTAACTTTTTAATTCAAATGATAAATAACTGACCAAAGCAGTGAGATGATAATGATAATAAACAATTACTGTATTATTGTAGTCATAGCAACCAAAAATGTTACCATAGCAACCAAAATATACTAAGAATAATACACCTTTGCTTTCAGCAGTGAGTCTGGGTTTGTTCCACTGTTAACCTTGAGCTACAACAGCCTTTTCAATGTGAAGTAGAAAGCTGAGAGAGACACAAGGGATCGTGAACAGTGAACAGAAGTCCGCCCCACCAAACCCAGATATAAAAGTTTGTTCTAATAAAAGACTGGCGCAGATGGTGTAGTGCAAGGTTTATAGTATTTTAAAAAGAGTTTATAGGACACAAGTCATGTGCTCTATCACCTGTTTTGTAGGTTAGATTTACAAAAAATTTACGAAAAATTTTAACGAAAAGATTTACAGAAAAACCGTGCCAAAATTTTATCCCCCAAAAAGTGAGTTTGGCACCGACCTTCACTGTTCACAATCCCAAGGGTGGCAATCACCAGTAGTAAAACATATGAGAGAATAAAATATATGAACACACAAAAGACAAGTGTAAGTGTGAGCAACTAACCTCAATCAGTCAATCAAGGGTCTGGTTATGAAAGAGACACCCTTGCATAAGGATGGGTGGCAGCACGACTAACACTGTGTGTCCTCATCTTGGGGACCGCACCTAAGTGTAAAACAGCCCAAGACTTGATATCACTGTGTGCATACAAGACAACATGATTATTATTATTATTATTATTATGGGGACAAAGAAGCTTACAGTGGCAGTTTCTTGATTAGGATTTAACCATAAATGGTTGTGGATTCGGGAGTCCCAGCCGAAATGTGGGGAAAACATTAAATATAAAATTCTGTGGTAAAAACATTAAAATGAAATTTATTTCTTAGATACCTCCGGATTTAGTTTGTATACAAGGGGCAATTTTGGGGTAAATATAATTGAATGTAATGTAATGTTTTAAATTTCAATCCCACCAAACTTAGCCAATTGGCACCTTACAGTTTCAAAGATTAGCCAAAATTCAAATGCAAAAGATGGGTAAAGATGGTGAGGACTTTCAGTGTCATTTTGGTCAAAACTTTTCACCAGATGAGGTTAAAACTCCACTGAGAAGCTGCCACTGATTCAAAAGCAAATATAAAGTTGTACAGGAAAAAGAAACATTAAGCAACAAGTAAATTAAAACAGACAACTAAATGTCATTAATTAAAAGAAGTGGTGCTTTAGGGTCCCTATCACCAACAGGTCTGTAAAACAAAGACTGCTATTTACTTGTTTAAGAAAAGCCAGAAAAAAATTAAAACACACAGTAATTAATAACTGAATATTACGACACATTAATAATTGAAATAATAATCACTGCAATGATAATGAAATAAAATCTATAGGATGCACCATCACCATTTCTACAATAGTCTATATAATACACTAAGGACATTATATTATTAAATGCAACAAAGAAGCATGAATCTCTGCACAATATTCATATAAGTAAACAATGTTAGGGACATCTGATTAGTTGTTAAACGGGAGACTTCCATCTCTTCCTAGGCAGCACGTTGGGTAGAGTTTCCTGTGGGTAAAGAAACCAGGTCAGATGCATGCAAAAAAAAAAAACTTTGTTTGACATAAATCAAAATATTGCCACATCTTAATCCCAAGCCGAACCAACATTTCATCAGCTTTTAATTAAATTCAGCAGTTTCTTAAATATTGCACTTGACCATCTCTCTTAACCTGCAATAAGAGAGAGATTTTCTTTAAAAAATGAATTTTTGTCACTGAGGATATGTGTCACCATGAAGACTTTAACATGTCATCTACTAGATATGTCTAAATGTCATGACACATTTAAGGCCAAAAGAGCAAATGAGACATTACATTAAATGAATACTTGATAGTATATTGTTGCAACAAAATTGGCATGTTGTTGATGTCAAACAAAGACAACAAAGATATGAACTAAACTTCATAGCAAAATGAAGACAAAATGGAAGAAGTTGTAAAGTTTGTGCTTTAGGCAGATGGCTTGATTTACATTTGATTTTTTGTCAGTTTCCCATAAACAATTCAGTTGTATTTTCCACAACATTACACCCTCCCTTACCCTAAACAACATCCTTTCAGTAAAAAAAAAAAAAAATTTCAACTAGAAATCTCAAGTTTCACATCTCTATTGAGCATTGCCATATATGTTCCATAACGAATCTCTTCATTGAAACTGTATGGTAAAGTCATTGCTTCCCTTCAATCTAATAAATTTGTGGTAAAGAAAATATCCATCCCAAATGATTAATATCTAACATCTGCTAAACATTTGGTCCCCAGAGATAAATAGGCCATTTCTGCTACAAAATATTTCTTTGGCAGAAAAAATTACACCACGAGAATCACTTTTGTCTACAAAATTGTTTTTCCTCATGAAAAAAATAAAGCAACAGCAGATTCGACCTCGGGGGGAAAAATGTCTGCCCCATTTTTGGAATGTGTGTGCTGCATGTGGGCGAAGTGTTATCTATAAATATAATAATAAAAAAATCTTTTATATATTTATACCCTGCCGCTGTGATGCAAATACTTCCAACAACTTTCTTGGTCCACTTACAACGGATGAATCTTGGGCAAGTCAAGCACAGGCTCAGTGGTTCAAGATGAAGACTATTGCTTTGGCGATTTTACATTTCTTGCAACACAGCACAATGAACACAAACAAAATTTTTCAAAAGAAAAAAAAAACAAACATGTTGCTCTACAAAGAAAAACCACAAAAGCACCAAAATTCAACCAATGGGAATAAGACAACCCATTTTTTTCTCATAGCACAAACTGGTTGTCTCTTGGCCAAACTAAAGGCCCACCATTACACATTTTGCCCAAGGCGAGCACCATATCACTGCCTGTCAAAACTCAAACCAAACCTAACCCTGTGCTTGCCTTATAACCAAAGATTCACCTCTTTGAAAAAAAAAGAAAAAAATTGTCATTTTGCACACAAAAACATAACAAAATATCTGAAACTGGAGTCACATGGAAATGGAAAAATATCACATAAGTCCCAGTCCTTCTATCTAAAGTGGCACATACCCACTCCACCTGGTTGCCCAGTCCCTGGGTACTCGAACAACGCCGTACTTGGTCCTCCCAGAGTCATAGCGTAATGATCGTACGGAGTGCTAGTGTATATCAGCCCAGCTCCCGGCGACATGGACAACTCTGGGGCGGATATAGGTGGCACTAGCGGAGGCGGGCTGCCCAAGACCGTATGTTGGTGGGCTGCATTGGCGGCGACTGCCTGTGCTGCCTGAGCATTGGCTAACTGAGCTGACGCTAGCTGGTGATTGGCTAACTGGCTTGCCATCTGGCCAGCGATCTGCGTCTGCATGGATCCGGCTCCCGGAAGACCTCTGGGCGATAGGAATAATGGCGCTCCTGCTGGCCCTTGAGCTCGTAGGTTCGGTGTTAGCATCAGTCCCGTGGCTGGGTCGAATGTACGAGTATGAGCATCTGAAAGGGAACACAACACTGAAGTGCTACTACGAGCTTATTACTTTAATGCAAAAGATGTCTTTTTTGTTGTGCAGTGTCAAACAGAAGAATGGCAAAGTTGACCTCTTTCAAAACTGAACTGAACCTTTTGATACAGTCATTTTCACCCTTTTATTTTTTCTTAAAATTTTCTCCTTTATGAATTATTTCATTCCACTCCCAACACTTTTTTTTTTTTACCAAAATGTGAAAGTATCACATGGCTAAGGCAACTGTGGGCACACACTGGTTACCAGAGCAAACCCACAACTCTCACCAAAAAGCAAACAACTTCTTGACATTACAGAGCACTATCACCGGGTTATCCGTTTGACACTGAACACATAAAACAGCAAAGATAACATGTTACTTCACATAAACTGCACTGGTTCACCCTAGTAAACCACACCAACCCACTGGCTTCTGTAAAGCAAAGTCTTGTGATGTTAAAATCACAGCAACAGCACAATATATATATACTCTGTGTGATATAAAATCCAACAACAATGACAAGCAAAAAGACACATTGATGATTTTTTAGTTAAATCTGTGAAGGATTAAACAAACAATTACTCCAGAATTGACATGAAAATTAATGTAATGTTCTTATTTTCATTCTTTTTTTTTTAAAAATTTATCTTTTAAAAAAATTACAATTATTCTTCATAACTCATTAATCCATTCTCCAAACTATAGGAAAGCACTACTGGGATAAAGTTCCTTTATGAAAGAAAAAGAACAAAGTCTGGGTTTGGTACTATAATCTACTAAACACCTACATATGTGTATATACAAAGGGTTGAAACACCAACTCCAGGTTCCAGTGGGGGGACACATCAGATAAAATAATATTGAGTGAACCGTATAGCATAATGATAATAGTAATGATCCATTTTACAAAATCATGCAAAGAAAAAAATCAAGAACATCCTGCACCATGCATATGAACTAAAATTGTGTAGAACTGCTGTCAAGTTTAATGAGTCCACTGTTCTTATCATTTTTTAAATATAATAATGAATGTTTATTTCCATATTTTTACATGCAAATAAATTATTGAATATGTTTATCTTTTATCTAGAACAAACTCATGAGAAGATTTTTTTTTTGTAAACATATACATATTTTCTTTTTAAATGTCACTTAATCGGGAGAAAAAGGGGATCTTTATTTTATAATGAGAACTTAATCATCATTAACTCATCACAAATTGACAGCAATTCTACATCATCACACATGATCACTGTTTCACTGTGGGAAGAAATCAGAGAAAAATCACTTGGATCTGGCATCTATAAGGTCCAAGCCAAGCTGAAATAGTGTGTAATATGAAGATAAAGGGGGGGTCAGCAAAAATATCCAAATCATACCACAAAAGCAATTATTGAAAACACTAAAAAAAGAATAGATAAAAAATAAATAAATAAATAAATAAAAAGGCGGGATAAGGATCAAACTAAAGCCACACACTGCCAAACTGGTGGTGAAATGTGAAGAAGCGAGCACAGACTGATGGCAGCATCCCAGCTACTTGGTTCCCATGCAGCTTACTGACCGACTGACAACTTACGAGACGAAGTAGGCGGAGAAGGTTGTTGTCCAGGGGGCTTTGTGGTGTCTCGATATGTCCCGTTAATCAGGGCTAACTCCATGAGTTGGCGTTTCTTTAAGTCATCCTCTCCTTCCGGCTGAAAGAGTTGTGTTAACAAAATGTTAGTACATTTTAAGCATATATTAATGTATATGAGCATTAATCGGACACTTACGTGTTGAGGGATTAAAAGCTCTGATGGCTGGGTCTCTATATGTCCCATTTAATAAGGCTAGCTCCATAAGCTGGACTTTTTTGAGATTGTCTTCTCCTTCAGGCTGCAAAAGAGAACAATCTACAGCCATTAACAACTGGTTAGTGGCATGAATAATTTTAGGAATTAAATGAGCTAGGGTCCGTTTGGAAAATAATCTCCGTTATAGCCAGTTTGCAGCAAATGTCTGAATTGTGTCACTTTTTTTCATCAAAATTCTGTTGATAAATTGGAGAAAATAAAAGGATTTTTAGTTTCTGTTTAAGTTTGAGTATAATGTCAACTGATTTTTATTTATCTTTATTATACATTCAAGCATTAAATATATCCATCAGGTGTGAGTATGGAAAGATCTTTTCACTCCCATCCACTGAAAAGCTGAAAGTATCAAAAGTATCAGTCCGTCACATCAACTGCAATCTGTTAAATCCTGTAACACAACTGCTGAACACCCCTATTCAGGGTAAAAATAAACTTGCCCATAAAGGAGCGTAAATCAAAACCTTATTTTGTGTTCTAACCCTATGGTTCAGGCGGAAAAGCGTGAAATCTGTTGCATAGACGGAGAACAATATGTCCCAACAAAAACTGTTTTCCCTAAGAGATGCCGCCCGATGAAAGGCATTTTGAGTTTTCAATAAAGACATGAAAGGCGCTGGTGTTGGGCCACTGTTGTCCTACCCTTTCATCCCCCACACAAATGCTTCAAAACTTTGAACAGAGCAGAAGTCAAAGGTCAGGGTAAAACATTCAAATTTTCCCTTTCATGGGTCAGGACCGGTAAGAAAAGCATATGAATGCAAAAATCACTGGCCCTCCAACTCGGCAACTGAGCCAAGTAATGGCATGTAATACGGACTCTTGATATGCTTCTGATTACTTCTCCATGTGAAACAATGAGGCTTGATGGGGTATTCCAGCGGCTGGACTTCCAATCATCATGGCCATTTGTTTGCTGAATGGGCTTTTGGTTGCTTGGGGCTGGTTATTATGGCCTATCAGGAATGCTTTGAGAAAGTGCAACTTGCATACATAATTCAATCGTATATTCATTTAAGCAGCCCTTCAGAAATCTGGCGATAAAGCACAGGAGCAGGCGAAGTGTGAAAAAGCCAGGTCACTGGATATAATGCAAGGATCTCCCTTTCCAATTTTCACCTTTTTCAAGAGCAAATTAAACAGAAATGCTGATGAACAGAGAAGAGCATCCTTATCAAACCCCGCCATCAATACCAAACATTCTTCTATGCCATTTTTTCTCTGCAATACTTTTGCTATGGCGATTGCTAAATCGTTTCTTCTAAAGCAAACCAACTTTCTTTCCCAATAAGAGTTTGACTGGGATCACAATTTTAGTCTGGGGAATTTGTATTATTGATCTTGTTTGTGCAAATACTGTGCCTTTTGCAAACATTTAGAGCATTTTTCACTACAGGTGCATGAAGATAAATGACACTTGTGTAATAAACCCCTCCGTGACAAACAGTAAAAAGGGGAACTAGCCTGTAATGGTCCGCATACCTGTGCATGTGCAGTAGAGCAAAGAGATTGCCCCTGGATAGGCAAAAAGGATGACACCAAAATTACACGCCTAAGAGCCACAGCGTAAAAAGGGAGGAAATATCAAAATAAATGTATACAAATCCCATTTTTTGTCACCTTTTATGAATAGTTGACTCGATTAAAATGGAAAAATTTCAATTCCATGCTTCGGAACTGCTCAATGAACTAACAGATGAACGGCACAAGAAGATGCTGCGAGATGCTATTGTCGGGCGCGGAGTGAAAAATGTGACGCTCCCTGCACAGGAATTTGTGCCTTTGTTGCAGCTTCCACATTGCCAGAATGTGGCATGATTGTAATCAAACATGCATTGTCCATGACTGTAAGAAACTGACATCTACACTCTACCTATCTCTTGCTGCTATTTTAGAAAAAAAAATGCCCAAGGCAATAACCACTTGATCAAAAACAGCTAGAAAACAAATTCTAAGAAGTAACGGAACAAAGCAAATGATATTTAATTTATAACAAGTCTTGATGACTATAGACTTTTTCACCTGATTTTCTCTGGCACTGTTATTTTGACAGTAGAACTCCGAATAAATCTAAAATTGGGACTTCTTGTCAGAGAACTCCGTAAAAAGAACAAAACCCAAGAAGATGTCCCAGAGCCTTTCTTCCCTGCCAACACCCCGAGGAGAGAGTACTATTTACCTAAGATTATCTCTGTGGGTACCAGTCTAGCTTAAAAAGGTCATATTATTGCCAGTGCAGTATAGGAAGACTGCACAAGAGGGTCTGAGAGGTATCTATATTATCATGGAGGTACTTTTGATCCAAGACATTTTTGCAAAGCCTGGTACTAATTTTCTCATTATCAGCTGCTAGATTTAGGTAAGATGATCAAATTAGCGCCAGTGCAGAATTGGAAAGCTGTGCAAGAGGTTCAAGAGGTATCCATATCATCACGCAGGGTTCTTCTTTTTTTTTTCTTTCTTATTTCAATGAATTTTCACAGAATCTGGTGTTCATTTTCCTACTCTCATTTCAAACTCATAAATAGAGGCATGTTTAAGGCAGGAGCAAAATTCACCACAAAGGTCAAAATAACTAGATCAAGGGAAACACATGCAGTAAGGTAAGAACTGATCATCTACCAGTCAGGAAACTGGAAGAAGAGAGGGTAGGTCTCTGAGAATGGCCTCTTTGATTCCTTTCTTTTTGGAGGAAATGGTAATGAGCGTAAATCAACCCAAATCTGACAGTACATCCAAGTATTCTTAGGTGTTTGTAATGCACCTAATATCTCTTGGCAAACACATGTTTCTCTGTCTAACTTCACTGGGCTCAGTGTATTCTAACTTGACCAAATCAATGTGTAGAAAAAAAAGGCATTACAAGATTATGGCAACTGAAGAGAAAAAAAAAACATACATTTCAACAAAATATCCATTGCCCCCCCCCCCCCCCAATCAAGCCCAACTGCAGTAAAATAAAAGTACTAAGTCAAATATAACATTGAATACACTAAGGTATACATAGCATGTCAAGAGGGGGGGGGGTACAGGTATTAAATCTGCGTAAAGATTTCAGTCTGCATAAATGATTAATGCATCTACAGTTTGTGCTGGGTTGATGGTACATGCAAACCTTCCTCCTATACAATACACTATCTGTCATTAACAGATAATCGCAAGATGGCATGAAATCAAAAGAACTGCTGCCAAAAAGGTTAATAAGATCAAAGGAATATCACAAATATAGCCTTAATGGGAGAATCATGTGCAAGGATTAATTCTATACCTTTTCCTATTATCACAGTAAAGGCAGAAACAAAGTGCATCTCCCATAACAGTAATGTAATGGCCATTGCATGGACAAGGCACTCCCATTGAAATATTTTGTCAATTGGCCAAGCGGTGTGTCCTGCGTGTACTACCCCTTTCGTGACTAAGAGAACATCAAATCCCTGACCAAGATATAGTTTGGCAAAAATATAAAAATAGTCTAAATAATGCAGAAGTCTTCATTTCTACCTCTTATAATCCGCAGCATTTTAAGATACCTAAACTACGTAGCCAGGGGGTAAAGAAGAATCTAGAATTTTAACTGTAACTGTATCATCATGCATTTAGTTCCAGTTACTTTTGTGTTCTGTATCAACAAGGGGGTTGCAGTGTCACTGTGATGATGAAGAAACCACCACCAAATGACAGATTCCACTGAGGGAGGAGATGAGGATACATGTCTACAAGGTGGATCGTTTTACATACTCCTCCAGTAACCAGCACAGGTATACGGTGACACCGCAGGCCTCCTGCTGTGAATACAAAATGAACGGTCCCCGAAGCACACCTGTAAAACTAACCAGCCAGCCAGCTAAGGACAGCCACGTGTGTCTATTAGCCTAATAAATACAGGGAACTCTCACTCCCCGAAGATAACCAGCAGACATTCCACAACACTGGCGAATGTTTACAAGTAAGATTAGGTGAAGGGCCTGATCGACATCCTTTTCAGTTTAAGTTTTCAACAAGTCTTCCAAAAACATGGGTTGATTTATGGGGAACATGACAGGCAACAGAGGGAGTAGCTGGTATCTTCCATGTATCTCTCGAAAAAGAAACACAGAAAAACCTGATAATTTTATCTATCTTTAATAAAAAAGAGTAACAGGGAAGCCAGTACCATATCACCAAACATTCCCTTTAATAGAACCAGCAGACAGAAACCAAAATAACTGAGAAATCCCAAATGCAAAATTCTTTTTAAGGTATGCAATTTAACAATCTATCATAAGACTTTTTTTTTGGCAATGGGCTGAACAGGAGAAAGATTAGTTACTCGTTTGCAGAATGGGAATGCAAAACTTGCACTTCCTCTGTTTTGTATCTCTATTAAGACTATCATTCACCAGTGATCTTTAATGTGAATCTACTCCAGGGGGGATTTCTCTTGTTCTGCTTCAGGAGTTGTGAAAGACCTTCTGTGTACCTTGTCAACTCCTGACCACTGAAGCCAAACAGAAATCTAGACAGAAAAGACAAAGTATGATCGAATCTATGGATGATAAAAAAAAATCAATTCTAACTTGCAGCGCACACTGGTTTACATTTTTGTCTGTGTAAACACGATACAGATACTTTATAGCATGCACAAACCAATTTGATATAGAACACAAGACAAAATATGTGATTATAAAACCCAATTCAATTGCAAAATAGCCATTTTTTGCTAATCTTAGAAGGGTGAACTATCAATAAAGACCAACTGATGTGTTTTCTTCTGCTTTTGTAATTTCTTTAGAAATAGACTTCAGTTTAGATTACGGCAAACATCCACATAAACCAGTTTAGAGAAGCCACAGAGCAAATGAACGACTTCCCCTGATATCAATATAACACTAGAAGGCCTAGTTTTAGTAGTATTAAATGACTGCCCAGTGCTGGGAGACTGTACACATATCACTGATAATCTGGTTTCATCCCTGGTTCAATGTCTATAATGGTAATCTGAATGCCATAGGCGGCAATTGTTATCTTGTGTTCCTACAAGTCTGTACTATCAACATTATAGGAGAGCTATGAGAAATCAATGGCATTTAAGGAGACTTGGTCTGCTCTTTCAGTCCAGTTTCTGCCAATTTCAGATTCAGAAGTCAGGACAAAAAACAAACAAAAAAAGAAAAAAAAAGTGCAAGAATGAATTATTTACTGACAAACTATCTAAAGTAATTTGATCATAAAGCATGAACTCTCCACCCCTACCTTTTTATACCCTTCACCTCTACATTGCAACCTTTCATCAGAAGAGTACAATTTGAGAAGGGTGCTCTTGAAACAATCAACACATGATCTCAATAAAAGACAGGCCATATACAGAAGCCACCAATGCCAAAAAAACCACAAAGTATTAGAATGGGGAGACAGCCTATCCCTATCACCCACAACAAATCAAAAAATTTTGTTTGAGAGGCCCCACCTCTGCTCTGAGATCTTTCAACAGGCAGGGAGCAATCTCATAAGGTTTCTTGAAACGTATCACCACTAGTTCAGTAAAATGTATTTGATACTAAACTGATACTGTATTGAATTGCACAGAAAGAAAAAAACTTTTTTGAGGTATTTCTGCTTATCCATCTTTTTTTAATGGCAGAGTTTCTGAAATCTACTTTTTTTTTTTAGTTTCTGAAAAATAACATCCTGTCTCAATATAAGGAATGGTTTTCAAATCGTCTTAAAAATGAAACTGTGGTATATGGGCAAAAATTTGGACAGTGTTTTTGTCATTATCGTTTCATCTGGAGAAATACATTTCAGTTGGACACCAAACATTGAAATAAGGACCAGATGGACATAAACTGAACCCAATGACAATACATCGTAAATGGTTCATTTCCACCTGAACGATGCTTTATCTTCTTGGAGTTTCTCCGCTATCTCTGAGAATTGATTGAAGATCTCTTTAGCGGCAGAGTATGTTAATCCTAACATCCACCACTGTCGGAGCTATGCAGCCAAAGTTACATCAGCACTGAGGAGGAAAACTTTCATTCTCTGGAGAAATGGGGGAAATAGAATGCTTACATATTAGCAAGGAAATCAAATAAACCTGCTGTGGTATCCAACTCAGAGTATCAGCCTATATCTCTCAAGCCCTCTGACTCGCAACTTCTTTCTTGCGCAGTGAGTAATACGAAACAAAGGAAGAGACTGTTGGCCAATACCTTAACGGTATAAAATAAAGGAAGACTTTGTTTAGAAAAGATAACCACAGTGTAGTCAACTCAAAACACATGTACAAGGATGATGTATCTGAAACCCTTACAGAATTATTCTTTCGGGAGTATGCTTCTCCCCACCCCCATTATGTATAAACAGAAACATAAAGATGCCCATCAAATCCTGAACCCAGCTTCCTGCGGAGTATGTGAGGTTTCCAAAAATCTTTCGGCAACGTATGAAAACTGGCACAGGAGAAATCCTAAGTGTTTCTATGCAAACATTAATTAGATTTATGCTTCATAAACATATGGGGTTATCCTCTGCTGCTAGGCATCTCTAGGGCTATTCTAAGACCAGGCCTTTGCAGAAAAAGCCCGTTATTTCCAAAGTAAATACTTCTCTTTTGCAAGCAAAAAAGATATAGCAATTACTTATTAAATTTGAACAAAAATAATTCATCATAAATCCCAAAATAATGTTATATATAATTCATAAAATATTTATGAATGAAAAAATAAAACAATTGGAGAAATCAAAATATGGAAGCAATTGGAGTACTTCCCAAGATAAGGGGAAAAAAATTATGTGTTGGCATTTTTGCCTGAAGCATTCCTTCACAAATTATCACATTTGCCTTGGAATTTAGATTGTTGGACATGGAGTCACTGTCTGGATGTCTTCTTCAGAAGGTTCTCCCGTCAGAGCAGTTCTCCTGGGGATTGGGAGCTTTAGATGTCAAATCAATGTAGACAGTGTATTTGAAATGGGAAACAGTCATAAGCAAACAGCTTAACAAGAAATGAAAAACTTCTGTTAAGGCAAAGCAGTCCGTTGGCAGTTTGCTCAAACATCTAATTGGTCTTACGAGCGTTAAGGACTTAAATTAAAGAAAAAAAAAAAAAAAACATGTCAGTCGCCACGGAAACCTTGCAACAAATCTACAGTCTTTCCACTTGATGTGAATATAAAACTAAATGAACAACTCCTTAAGCAATGTATGACATCAAGTAACATTATTGAATCAGCATATTTTAATACCAGCATCTCTGCTTTCTTAAGCACCTAGGGACATGGCCACAAAGGGGATATTGGCAAGTTACAAGTGCACTGCGCGTGCTGATATTTATAATTATTTCTTTTCTTACCGCTGGCACTAACAACTTCCTCACTTCCTCCACAGCCCTTTGTAGTTTCATCTCAGCTCTGGTTTTTGTGTCTTCTACATTTATTAATACATGTAACTCTTCATTTAAGTGTTCCCAGTTTGGCTTGCCTCTATATTGTTCCTCCTAGAAAAGACCAAAAAATATTTACTTTTAATAATAATAATAATAATAATAACAAAAATAAATAAAAAAAACATATCTATTCAGCATAATATACATATTGATAAAAAGTTCCTTGCCAAATGAGTAACATTTTTTGAATAAATGAATAAATGACTAGTTCAGCTGCGCCATCCAGTCCAAGCTTTTAAAACTGCACTCCCTATCTTAACAATAATAACACTGATTTGACTTGACAAGAACAAGTGATCTTAAAGAATGTTAACAGTCATATACTGTATTCAGGAATGACACATCAGTATTTTGACAAGGCCTAACCTGTACTGTTCAAAGAAAATACACAGAAACACTTCAATCTTATCTGAAACTTTCTTTCATAAAAAAAAAAAACAGAACAAAATCATATAACGAAAACTTAACAGGGCTGAATAATCGAAGTTAAATTGTCAAAGATGGATACAGAAACATACCAGTTGATGTTGAAAACCAACCTCCCCCCCCTCCCTTCATTTTTATAAAGAGTACCCCTGAAGCTAATCCGTTTCACTGTAACAGGATGGCTTTCATTTCTCAGAAACCAGCGACTACAAGTAAATAGCAAAAATGCTTTTTAATAATTACCTGCATTACCAGTAATATCCTCCTTTCTCTTTGTAACATTAAATGGGTTTTACAGAAACAAGCTACTTATTTTGGTTAATTGCAATTCTGGCTACAATGGCAAAAACAATGGGTTTGAGGACATGCCTTAAAATGGGCAGGTTCTATAAAGAAAATAAGCATTAAAAATGCATTTTCAGTTTAGTTGGGTGGTTTTCCCTTGGTTTACCACTACCTACTTATACCATACAGGCAGTGTTTGCCTCTTAGGAAAATTAGTTGCTGGACCGAAAGTCCAGCCATCTTGAAAAGTAGCTGGACTGAATGTCTGCTGGGTGGGATAACTTCTCAGCCCGTTCTGAAAGTTGTCAGCCCCGGGCAGACGGTCCAGCCTTAATTTCTAACACTGCATACAGGGATGTAATATAATAACAATAAAACACCTAAAATAAGGAATCTCTTCATTTTATCAATCTTTAAGATAATAGGACCACAATTTTTAGTTACAGGAATCTAGTGCAATTCTTCTCGTCACATTTTTGTTTTCTGTTGTAAAAGAGACAAGTAACATTTTTATCATATAAAAAAATTCCCAGTTTTACATGTTCGTGACTTGGTCACATAACAAGACACTCAACTATGAAACTGACTTTGATTTCACAGAAACAAGCAGATCTTACATAAATAATAGCATGTTGATGACAAAACTAACTGGTCAATGTGCTTGCCCCAGGATGGTCAGCAAACAGACTGGCCCTTATGACCGAGGACAAAGACAGTGGGTCCACTGTGCTGGGCACTGTCACAGTGATGGATGGGCAACAGCTAACTACATCTCCACAGGGAAGGCAGAGTGGCATTTTGATGGACTTTAAATAATCCTATACCTCTTGTCCATCTTACATGTCATATTCTTTTAAATGGACCCTCCATTTCTTGCATTCATTTTTGTATCTGTCTAACACACATCTGTTGATATGCCATCAACAGTTTCTTTAAAAGAATAATTCCAACTATTAATATTTTTTTTCAGCCATGCTTTAAACTGCAAATTAAAAACCAACCTCTGAAACTTTCTTATGCAAATGTGCATTTTCATAAATAATACATTTACATGCCAACTTCTTAAAATATGCACCTATGATAAAGATCCTTGCAGACACAATATTTGGGCAACCATGTATCTTGATTTAGGAAAAGGAAATTCTAGACCCATTTAAGCCAACTTAATGCCAGTTCCAAGGCACTATTGCCACCAGGCAGTGATCCCAAACTACTAGTATTTAAAGTAGGCCACCAAGAGTTTGTTTGTAGAGTAGTCTCACTTTTATTAGCAGCATAATTAAATACCAGACTTGAACTGTATCAAAGGCAGTATTCCAACCTTGTACCCCCCCCTCCCCCAAATACTTTTTTTTTTATTAAACTATTAAACACGGCAATTTCTGTATCTCATGAGGTTTGTATATATTTCAGTCCTAATCTTGTGTAGATCTAAATATGGTTTCATGGGTTCCCTGTTGTTTAGACAAGTAGCTTAGAGCATGTCACAGACAAAATCAAGATAACTTCTTCCAAAGCAAATTTTATACTTGAACTACAAGAAAAAAAAAAAAAACCCAAATGTCATTCCCACTTCTTCCTTTTGTTTAAGAGGGTGGGGACAGATTTTCTTTTCACCATATTCAAATAACTGCAGACCCTATTATCATGGTTGACCCTAGTACATTAAATATATAACAAAACATTTTTGGCATGCGAATGGAAATTCTTGCTCAGTTCTTTACTGGAGGGTCAAGACTCATTCATTATGACTACCCCTTCCATTTCAAAAGCCAAATACCAACAGGAACCTAGTTCAATATTAAGCCAAGCAACCAATCTGGTCTAAAGCTTTAACTTGCCATGCTGCAGTGGAAAAACTAGACAGCAATTTTCCCTTTCTTAATAGCTTTGACCATGGGTCAGATGTGAGGAAATAAAGCTTAATTTCATTTTGAGGAGGAACACCACATATGCTTAGTTCAAAATAACTCCCACTTTAATCGCAGATAGAAGTTCTCATCCATTATCCCACTGTAATTGGGTACTAAGGGGAGTTCAGTCCCATCTTGCTCCCAGTCGAACCTCTACGCTACTCCTAACACAACCAGGCTTCTACATGATAAAATCATATTATATATTAGTATTCTGAGCTCAACTAGATACAGAGCTCTCAAAAGGAAAAATGTTTTAAGCAGACACCAAGCAGCATCTTTATTTTCAACTTAGGACAGATTAGATCAATTATAGTTTATTGATTTCACTGCAACAAAGCTATCCCAGTATAAGCTGTTGATAATCCCCTCTGACAGCTGTAGTCCCCTGACTTTCCCAGAACCTCCATTCAATCATTCTGAACTCGCACAGATATAGACAAGTCGGGGTCTCTGTAGAATCACTCTCTCAGGCTTTCGGATTAAATTGCCAAATTTCTCTAAGCCACCGACCATAATGATTCACTAACAATTAAATAATTGGTAAAATAGATAGGTCAAGGTAGGGATGAAGATCGACAGTCAATTTCTGATGTGCACAAGGCCAATTTTGGTAATTGTATTTCCTAATAGAAAATGCAGCCATGATCTTTAGTATTAAAATTCCAAGCACCACCCTTGACAAGAGAATTATTCATGTAAATTCTTAAACTGACATGACTGTCAAAAGTTGATGATTTTTCAAACCCTATTGAAAGTGAAATGGATGTCCTGTGGGTAGATTAGCCTAGCATTAGGTGACAAAATACACCTTTCCAAGCTTATTTTACACTAAAGGTATGGACATAAATTAGCAATATCCCCAATGGCCAAGGGCTAGTACTTGTCCAGGTCAGCATAAATAGTAGTAGTTTATGTCTTGAATGATTTCCTGTTAATCTGTATGAGGAAAGAGGGGATATTCAGATTATTAGTCAGATTGTCCCAAAGCCCAGCTTGAAGGTATTTAATTTCATCCATAAAGACACCTTGGCCCTTTACTTGTCCAAATCTGGGCTTGTTCTCCAGGTGTTTAAAAAAATTGAGAGATATAAAAAAACAGCCACTGAAATAAATGGGTCTGAATTGGTTTTGATTTAGAAAAAAAAAAAAAAAAAAAAAAGAACCTGATGACATAACTGACATTTTCAATGTAAATTACAGCCAAACTTGGCAATACATCATAACAGCTTTATTTCCTCTGACAATTCAGTTATAAAAACACATCCAAGGATCCATCTCTCTTTTTTTAAAACAAGTTTGCATGTTCTCAGATCCATCTGGCAATTTGCCTTCAGTTTGATAGTAGTGATTTATACGTATGGCAAGCCCCTTGGTTGGCTGTGAAAATTATGTGATGAACTTTTCTGCCTCAGTAGCCAAATTGTGCATAACGATTCCGGTAGCCACTTTGAAGTGTAGTTATAAACCATGCCCATCCCCTACCTCTGCACCTCTTTATTTCAACATTCTCCCCCTTGCTTTTCACATTCAAATCCGCTATGGGAATTCCACTCCAAAATCACCTATCTTTCAAATATTGTGTTTCCTCAGAAGAGAAGGGGCTATTAAACTGATGTGGCGACAAGTTTAATGGGGGGGGCTACTTTTTCATAGCCTGTGCCTGCCAAGCCGTGCAGTGTTGTTTAATGTTCCATTCCTGCGGGGTGTCAAAATGAAATCGGAACCAGCAATGTTCTGTTTGATTTTAGATGCTGTTAACCATGCAAGCCGTCATGTTAAAGGATCTCAGAACTGTCTTTAACATTTAATAACTGTAGTAAAAGTGACTAAGAAAACCATAAATTATTTTTACAAAACACGAAGCGCACAATAAATCTTCATAGATTCAATTTCAATATCCTCATTCGACTACTACATATGGAGAGAGAGGCCACAAATCTCTCTGCATGGTCTGATATTGCCTATAAATCTTTAGTTCATATAACACTATCATTTACTACGCTCAGCACATTTTTTTCGATAAATGATCCATGACGAACATAACACTATCAGAACCAACCCTTTCTTTAATACCCATTGCGTTGCCGTTTCCCCTATCATTATAGTTTTGCAGCCCGTATTCCTTCTAAAACCCATTCATATTTAAACAAAAAAATAATACAAAAGCTGTAAACTCATGACTTACCTTTTTTTTTCATCCATCACTAATGTGTGGCTTATCTATGCAACAATTCTGCAACCTGTTCTCTTTTTAAGAAATCATGACACAAAACTCACTTCACTTACCTTTTTCTTATCCCTCATTGATCCTCTACCTCTAACCATAATTCGGCAACCCGTACTCTTTTCTAGTTCTTTAATGGTGTGACCCTGTGGACCTAATATCCTACCAACAAAGTTGAACTGAAAACAAAAAACAAAAAGAATCTAGGTGTTGTGTTACATGTTGAATAAAAAGCAACTTCAGACCCGCCTGGGGTATTACCAGAGTGATAAAGATCCATTCCTGTAACAAAAAAATACAATAAGAATCTAGTTACATCTCATATTATATCATCAGTACTTGAATGTGTGCATGGCGCAATAAAGAATGAAATGAAGCATATGAGGAATCTCTGTTTGCAGCATAAATTGTCATTCAGATGACAAGTCAATTGATGATAATCTGCAAAACAGAAGTCACAAACATCATGATCATTGCAACAATTTGTATAATTCTTAAAATATCCCAAACAGAAAAAAAATCGACTTTAGGTTTATTTCCAAGGTAAAAACAAAGTATATATGCCAGGTGTGCTGCAATCCACATTGACAAAACTATGGAAGGGTGGGGGAAGAGGGGGGTCACTAAATAGTTATTGTCTCCTGTCACATAATAGGATAAGCATCATGTTCAGAAATGGCTACCAACTACCACTTGACCCTCTCCTTTACATTTCTCCTGTGGGCAAACACATAAGAGACTACTTGCACTGTGCAAATAGGAGCCATATCAACAATGGGCGAGAAAGTGCATGCAAATTGGATACAGAGCTCAGTGGGTTGGGCTCGTTGGTCTGAACTGGACTGGACCTCAGCAAAGAAAAATAGGGCTCTCTTTTCAGAGAAGCAGTACCAGCTGGTTTAAACAACAAGGGGTGTACAAAATTATGACAGCCACAGAGTTGACTGCATTATATCATGTTGAGGATATTGCAACCAGAAACCACTGCAGTAACAAACTGGGTTCCCTGCAGTCTTCACCATTCAGTTTTGACTAGACCAAATCCCAGTGTGAACAGAACTGTACGGACCTCTGTTTAACCCTTCTAGCAGAGGACAGTAGTATTCATCATCTTGATGGCTTTAAGGGAAAAGCCAGGCAGTGAACTATCACCAAAGTGAAACCCATTTATCCTCATTGACATAACCAGTTACACGAGCTGCTACAGCAAATATTTGTATTTCGGAGCCATATACATTCTTTGTACAGTTTAAACACAGTAGTCTCTGTCCGCCTCCTTGCTTTGTGTTTTTTTTAATATATCAATATGCTAAGGCAAAACAGACAGTCAGTAAAAAAAGTTTAATGGCACATTAGGACATGTTGGGAAATAAAAAATGTCTCAGCAAAACATTTAGAGGGTCATACGCATGCAAGGAAATAAAAAGGCAACTCGGTAAAAATGGCTTAAATGCCACAAGGCAGGGCATAAAATGATAACTTCTAAGGCGACCGACCGGGTCTGCTAGCCTCTCCCCTCCAGTCATTCAGTACGGAAGGACACGTTCATGTAACACCTTCAACTTGATACCACAGGTAAAACTAGTCAACTGATTGAAGAAGAAGAAGAGGCCTCATTCTGCTTTAGGTAACCGAAACTGGAAGGCAAACAATCATTATAGTATAGAATGTGGTCAGTAGAGCAATCTAAGCTCTTCCATTGTCCTATGACCAGGGTATCAGGGGTATATGTTTATGCGCAACGGAGGTACTTTTCAATACAGGATGGATGACACTGACAATACCATACTAAAGACATGTCACATCTCAAATATCTTGAAGGCAGTTTTATTATCTGTGTTAATCTTTATACAACTATGTTATCTATCCAGCCTATAATCTGTTTTGTTGAGAAAAAAAATCACTTGCGAAAAAAAAAAATCACCATAATTATCCAGCTGGTTTATTTATCTTTATATTTTTTTGGTTTGACATTAAACTTTCAACCCACTTACTTTCTAGATTTTACATTTAATTTGATCAATATCAACTTCTGATTACATTGCAAGATAACCCAACATGCCTCATGGTCGCCTGAGCATCTCCTGCCAAAACTGATTCAAAGAACACGAGCTTGATTAAATAAACTAAAAAGAATTTAATCGTTAAGTTTAGATACTACCATGCCACTTGCTGACTGAACATATTATTGGATGTTTTGGGAAGTGAGCTGTATTATTTCTGTAGGCAGAGGTCTAAACAAGATAATCAAGCAGGTCTTGGGAAAACATACACAGCAAACAATCGTTCAGCAAATGGTATATGGCGATTGTTCTTGAGAAGCAATTTCTGTAAATGTCTTATAAAATAGAATATCACCAATCTCACACTCACATCTCCCTCTCTCTATTATTTCTGCAAACATATTGACTGTGATTCAAATTTCAAAGACAAATCGATCAATTGAAATCTCCTGCGACAATAGGGCCTGAATGCAACGTACTCTCTTGGCTGCCAAATCCAGATTTCCTGTGTGATAATGTAAATTCCATATACCAACATAAAGGCCTGAATCGCTGGAGCAAAAATTCACTTTCAATGGCAACCCAAACAGCCTTTTGTCTAAGCAGCTCGGAGACAAATGTATTGAGGAGGGAGTCTAGGTAAACACAAGCATATATTAATGCACACATATTGTGAAAAGTTTTCGCAAGGTTTCTGATACAAAACACCCACTAGAAGTCAGGATTACAATCTTAAGGTGTAATCTGAACTTAACCCAAGGAAGGTAAAAACCTGGTTAAAATGTACTGCTGCCACAGCACCTGTGTGCAACTGTCAACTGAATGGCTTAATCCAGATGCTTTGAAACCCTAAACACCACTTCTACCCAGAGCAGCAGTGTATTTTTGTACTTGGGGGAGCAAATACAATCTCCTAACAGCCACAGGTTTCTTTTTCCATGGACTTGCCACACGTTTTAAGACCGAAATTTATAAGATCCCCACAGGAAGTCTCATTTCCATGGCAATATGCCATGACCAGCTCTGTAAATGTCCTTCTGTTCCTAACAAATTAAAACCACTTGTGAGTGTGAACATTTCTCCCAAGTTGTTTCCTGCGCAACAAAGACTGTGCAATGAAACTCCAGAGAAACCCGGTTTACAAGAGCGGGGCCCTCGTCTTGCCAGTTTGAGATTTATATCATGAAAGCTGTTACTTAATTGGCAACAAATAAGGCTAATGTATCAAAGGGTTTTTAACTTGGGCTCATTTATAGTGTAGAAAATTGGATTCTTTTTTTTTTTTCCAAATTAAGTGCCACATGCTTGGGAATGTTTTCATTTTGACGACGAAAATTACACAGCTGTTTTTGTGATATGACCTTATGGGACTTCCAAATCCTACAATATTATTACTTAAAGTTGCTCACTGAAATCTGTCCACAAGAACCATTTGCACATTAACTGAATATAACTAAATAATTTGGCAGGGGTGGGGTGGGGGTGGGGTTTAAGCTCTTCCCAAAGACAATTACATGGAATCACCTTTTTTCTACTTTAACTTTTGTCTACTTTATCTTTGCCACAATATCTTAGTACAGTGAATATACTGAGAGTACTAAATCAAAATATTTGATTGACACTTCGAGGAGTCAAAAGATGTGCAGATTAAGACGCCCTTAATGCAAGAGAAGAGACACAAATGACAATTTAATCCAATTCAGACCAATTACATTAGGCAAGTTATCCTGGTAAGCTGTCAAAGCTTATCACAACCTGCTGAATCAATTAATCCAGCCGCGTTAATTAAGCACTAGGGCCATTCTGGATATGATCTGTGAAGTAAGATAGGATCACGGAGACTTGGCCAAAAGGAAGAGCACATCCGATGACCTGGACAGATAGCTGGTACAACGGAGGAAATAATACTTTTATCACCACCAGTGCTTGCTGACTTAAAAAGGAAAACAGCTTTGGAGTGTGTTTCTGCTTCAAGAGAAATTCATTCTTCAGTGAATCCCTGTTAAAATTCTTAGACAATGATTTGATTTTTTTTGTTTTGCTTTGCTCTCTTCTCTCTCTCAAAGTAGTCAATTTTTACCTACCTTCTTTGGGAGGGAAAAACGATGTTAGTAAATGCCTGTGATGCAGCATAGAGATAACCAATTTTGACAACTGAGATCATTGGGTCTATTCCATGGCTAGATTTCCATAAATGCGGTATTGCTGCTTTAAGAATATAACACACAGTTTACAAGCAAAGAAAGAAAAAAAAAAAAGAGATCTCTGATGTCAAGTTCATTTAGAGAGAAAGTTTACAATTTCCTCCCATGATCCAATTTTCCCAAATGACAAAATGATATTAGCTCGAAATGAGAGATCTGAAAGGTGAATGCCATAGTAAAGTGCTACTATATTGAATGTCCGATATAGCAGATGAAGAGATCTGATATAGCATTAAGATATCACTCTCCTCTCTGGAAATAAATAAGGTGAGATGTTGGCATATAGATAGAGGTAATCAAAAAACAATTTTCCAAACACAATTAAGTTATATATTGGTGGATTTTACCCCTGAAGTAAGAGAAAAATCCATCTATGTATTTTCTTAGTAGATGGCAAAAAATATTTATTTTCCCTTACATTTAATTTCTAGAAAACAAGTAGGAAAAGACAAAATCTCAATTAACACTTTTGGCAATTTTTTTTTGACAAATATTACACTATCTGAGAAAGACTTAAATTAGAACAAGAGCACATTTTTCTTATAAATTAAAGACAAATTAAATTTTAATTTTATTTCAATACCTCTGGGTGTTCTTTTACTGGAACAAATACTTTTTCTGAGAGTTGGAGAAGTGGCCCCTGTGGGTCTGGCAAGCTGAGAGGCTCGTTACTGCCATTTAGATGAAAAAGACCTACTCGCACCTTGCTAATCTCTGGAATAACATAAAATACAAGAAAATTAGAACACTGCACCAGAAAAAAAGTAGAAATTAGCAGGCAAAGATCATACAATGTAAAATATAATATATGAAATATGGTTAAAACAGAATGCCTATAATGAAAATATAAAATTGTATATAATATAATATTTGGAAGTATTTTGTTTTTTGTAGATGCTATTTACAGAATTGGAAAATAACTGGTGCAATTGTAGAAGCAAAGTGTTTCTATCTTTTTTTATTGTTTATTAAAAATCAAAAAGTCAAACAATCCAGTCACTTATATATGACACATTTAAGCCATATAATAATTTTGATAATTATAAACAGTTTAGCAAATTACTGTTTTTGCTCTTAAAAAGAAAGGACGATTTTGCAAATGACTGCTATTAAAACTCACAGAAAGCACAAATGCTATTTAACCAGGCAGTGTGCCGACTCCTATTGTGACTAATACTGGAGGCACCTTTGCATAATTGGGGTAATGACTGCCAAAAACATTATAGATAACAATTCTAAATATTTTATAGCTGCCACATTTTATGTAAATTATATACCAATCTTCTTTATCTCCACTGCCGTCAGTGTACTTGTAGTAAAGAGAGGACTCTAAAAGCAAAGAGACCATTGTCACCCAGAGATGGAAATATCAGTTATTTTTGCACAATCAAAATTGAAATTATGGGGTAGGGCATATTTCAAGGGTATCTTACTGTTTGGTGGCTCTCACAAATTCTTGTCTTGTCCCCGTAATGGATCTTATCTGCTTATTCAGCGGTAGTGAAGGCCACATATCAAGGCCAAAACAAAGAACTTGGCCAGTGTAGGCATAAAGTTTGTTTTAAATCCAGATACCTTTTGAAAGAAATGTCTCCCATATAAAACTTCAAAAATGCTTTTTCCTCTATTTTCAAAATAATTTTTGTCATTGTTATTATTTTTGAAATATTATTTTTATTTACTGCAAACAGCACTACCTATGAACTAGAGCATAGTGGAAGATGAATCCAAAGAACACTACACAGGAGAAAAGGCATTTGTAAAATGTTTGTTGAAATATTGGCGTAAAATCCATAGTTCCTGGTACCAGGGGTGACATAGCAAACATCAAAGGTAGCCCACTGTGACAGCTTATATATCATGTGTAACCTTAAATGTTGTGATACTGGCAGTAGTATTAACACACTTTCTTGAAACTACTACCGAGGCAGTGTTCAAACTCGAAAAGCCTAGAACCATGCACTTATTTTAACAAAAAAAAAAAAAAAAAAATGCAGCATTTGAAAGATTTTTTCAAATGCAAGTGTTTTCTTATTAAAACAAGAAACAAGATCCTTTATACTTTTGAAAGGTAATTAGTTCATTTAAAACTGCTTAGATCATATGCAAGTGGAAACACTCAATTTCTTCATTAAGGGACCCTGTCTAGACAAAATTATGAGATATTGTCCAGACAGTTAGATTAACTCTCTGTCTCCATTAAAAACTTGATATCTGCAGATATATTCCTATTAATTATAGGCATGAACACTTAGACCCTAGGTTATACATTCTTCGGTGTCTCCAAGAGAAGCAAAGGTGGTTATTTGCAAATGGACCTCTCTTCTTTTCTTAGGGGATTGAAATTCAAATTTCCAACTTTTCTGTCAAAAGAAGGCACTAATGTGCAAATGCATCATCTTATCATCTGCAGCCCTGAAATTAAACTGCTTCGGTCCTCCTAGTTTAAGTTAAGGCAGCAATTTACCATCGCTTCACCTTTTCAAGGGGCAGATAGAAATAATTCCATGCCGTCAAAAGGTCACACACCTCATTCTTTTGCCTTTGAACAAGACACAAAAGATACCCACAGCCACTCTGTGAATTTCTATGCTCTGTCAATGTGAAAATTAGATGGGTGGATGGCAAGCACCAGTGGCTGTTACTCAATCATGCAGGCCTAAATCAATGGCATTTCTATGGGATTGCCTTGGACAAAAAAGGATGACATAACCATGACATTCTCTGTCTTTAGGCTGTTTCTCCCAAAGGGAGTGCTATAATGAACACTAACCGTCTTCTTATATCAGAAGCTGATAGAAGAAAATAATTACACGTATTGTGGCAACTTCACAAAAGGGGATGGAATTTTCACAGAGGGTTTTCATGCAGAAAATTGAAGGGGGCGCAGAGTCCAAAGACATTTTCGCCACCAAGATTATCATCATCCTTAATTAGTGGAGTATCACATTATGGCATAATCAGTATTTCAATATAACTATTCCAGTTCGTGCATTTGACCTCCCAACCCCCTTACCCCCCCCCCCCAACTTTTCACCAGAAATGCCCAAGTTGATATTAGTTTTGTCTCTGCATTTCATTGGACTCATATTTACAGCTCAGGAAATGGAGAGTTCCCATGGAAATTTAAGTAAATGTCACAATCAATCTGTAAGAACTCTAGCAATATATCATAAAATGCACAGGGGGATGCACCTCCATCTGTATTCAATTGCCTTTGTCAAGATGCAACTGGAGTGAACAGCGTCTCAGCACAGCTTGCTCTAACAATGCACATCATATATTTACTACAGAGAGACCACAAATGAAGTTAAACCACTTCAAAAGATACCAATCATTTAAAATGTTTCTTTTTTTTTTTGCCTCCACCCATTTTTTCACTCGATATAACCTTCTCAAATGACAACACAATGAGGATCTCCTAGCTTGTGTCAATACACCTAAATAGTTGTGGTTTTCAAACATTGCCACTATAAAATCTTCCGAGGGGCTCGAGTCTCTAATAAAACGCTACTGCCTTGATTCATAACTCAATGGTCACAACTTAATCTATTGACCTGCATTTATTCAGGTCCTTCCTCTGGGTACAAAAAAGCCAGATCTAAAACAACCTGGCTGAACACACTTGGGATTTAATCAATCTGCTGCTTGTAAACCAATTAGCCTTATTGTTTTGGCATTAAATGCTTGACTTATCAAAATCCTACCACCTCTATGTGCTGCATATCTTAAGCGGTGTTATCAGTTGTGTATCAAACACCATGCAAAGGGTTTTGGTCAATAATCATTCAGTTTGATAGCTGATTGATCAAATTTACACAAGCACTTAACAAGATAAATGTGTAAGCTATCAACAACTTCTACAAATGGCCAATAAAGTGCAATAAAAACTAACTTCTGTGTTACACTTTTCAGTTAGAAATGTTTCTGGCTTAATTTCATTCCTAACTCAGAATGGCAAATGCCCCCTTTCCTTTAATCAAGCCCATTGTCTGCCAGCAAGCAAATAAGGCATTCTGCTATCGTGGAAATAGTTTCCTGTGAAACTACTTTTTCAGCTGGGGAAGAACAAGCTTGCGGGACAGGTACACACTGCACAAACTTCCCCTATAACCAAACAAGGAGGCTTTAGCTCTAAGACCTTGTCAATTAATTAATCAATACTGGCATTGAGAAATGGTAAGGAAACATGTGCTAGCTAAATCACCTTCCAATAAATCTGTGCTAAGAGTAATCAATATGAAAAACAGGGGGCTGGATTTGTAGTACACTACGCACTATAGATTACACTTATCTCTACTTAGGGTTATTATAACACTCATCGGTTCAATGCTTTACAGGGTAAAGTCATGATATTTGACAAAAAGGATACATGTATCACAGAACAGATTTAGAAAAATCATCTGAATTATTTGTTTACACTAGCTACAAGTTGTACTGCAGACAAATATATTCAGTGTTTTTAAACATAACTGGGCAGACTCTGTATCAATGTATAAATAGGCAAGCCCCCCTATCCCTGTACAAACACATAAAGCAGTGAAGACATTTCCTTGTGTTGGAGAAGAAATAATGTGAATCAGCCTAAACACACAGGAAACACATTCAGCTACACAAATGTGGGCAGTCTCTGTAAGAGGTTAACTGGGTACATTTATCTCAAGATCCGTGTAAAACCTTAGCTTAAAACTTTTGTGGTACACATTATCTATACCATTTAACTATTTACTACTGAATGTGTTTACAGATGAATAAATCTATTATTTTTTAATATGCTTTAATTTACTGCAGAGTCTGTTGCCCTTCCTGATACCTAAAACACCATTCAGACCAAGTGCATGACTAAAAACAATTGTGTCAAGTCTTCAATTTATATTGGACTCTCGATATTTCGCCAAAGAAATGGAGAAAGTAAAAGAAAGTGTGACATTCAAAATGGCTACCGACGAGTGAAGAAATCACCACTGCTATGCCAAAGTGGGTGGGTACGTGGCCAAAAACTTCACAAAAGTTTTCACAAGTTTTTGAACAGATGGTTAACAAAATTCTATTTATTTGTATTCTCTGTGAGATACACTCTCGTATGACGGAGAAAACTCAATTTATTTAGGTCAAAGATGACTGGATCAGTAAGTAAACGCGAACGTCCCGATTTTGGAATGGGGTCAGCAAAACACCCATAATTAAATGAACTTTCAAGCATGTTGCCAGTTCATCTTACATTTATGTAGAGTACTGAAATATAAGTAGAATACAGAGATACACTTATATTTATTTAATTTTTAAAAACTTACCTTCATCTAATAATCTTTCTGCATGGATGAACACATTTGGAAAGGCTTGAATCTGTTTCTTGTCTTTGAGTAACTGCGCTAAATATTCTACAGTATTTCGATCCTTAGCATCTAAATTCACTGGAACGCCATGGCTGTTAAGAATTTGATTTTCAGTCCCCATGTTTGAATTATTGAGTCCCACAGCAATCTACCTGAGTAAGAGGGGTGGCTGGTTCGAACTACGTTACATGGACTCAACTCTCTGCTTTCTTTCCCCTTGAATTTGTTTATGAACACGTGCGGGCAATGCGCATGTCCCAAAATTGAGACGGGTTCAACTTAGCAGAAAGGGGTGGCAAAGGCAGCACAATAAGAGTAACCTTTGACACAAAAAATACATAAATTTTTCATACAATCGTTGCCAATCGACATATTCACAATCAGAATTACCTCGGTGTTGTAGAAGTTGAAAGGCAAATGTAGTAGGAGCTTAAGCTCTGCGTGGGTGGAGTATTTAAGGTATGTCAATATTTGATCGGGACCTTGTCATTAGTGCCCTGAGTTTTACAGCTGTGACCAGGTTTGGGATGCTCGTACCCTTCGATTTGGCAGTCTTTATAATTGTTATTTTTTTTAAAAATTCATATTAACAACTTTTCCTCCAATTACAAATCTAGCAAGAATCTTATAGACATAATGCGCGGTTCTAGGTCCTAGCATGAATAAATCTTGATGTCAAATACATATATAGTTATTATAAAGTTATTGATATAAAACTGGAATATACACGTTGTAGTCCTAAAATTATCAACTTTTTTTTAGCTGTAGTCTAAACAAGAATTTAATTTAAAAAGAAGTTAATTTAAAAAACTTGTATGAAATTATTAATTTTATTCTTCTAATATTTCTTTATTACAATCCATATATACATAATTCTGTTTTATTACTATTTTTACATCTCTGAGTGAGCTTGTCATTTATGACTGATATATTATTTTAAGGACTGTTAAATTAATTCACGTAATGTACTCTGTAAAATAATGGTATTTTTTGCTTTTCTTTTTTTAATTACTAAAATGCGTATAAGCCCACTAAATCAAATTTCTACTTACTGCTATACAACCCCTTAATCACTGTCAAAAAGACAATAATTTATCAAAATGGACTTTAAAAAGAAATTATAACCAACAAGGAAATAGCATTTATGCCATTCTTATCAGCTACAACATCTGGGCATTGTGCTCTTCAATGCATGCAAATTGTATATACAAACAATTCAAGTGGCCAAATGAGTGTTATTGCTAAGATATCATTAGTGGACTCCATAGTTTAAGGATAATGACCATAGGTTTGGAGGCAATAGGTACTCTGTAACCGTCCTCTGGTGTGCAGGTGCCTTAATAGAAGTTAAATAGACAACTTCCTTGACAATGTTTTTCTAAAACCTAGTTATCATTTTCCACTTCAAAGATTTTATCCACGATGGTACAATGTAATAGTTTATAATAATATAATAATAAAGTTTATTCAAACATAGCAACCAAAATCTTGAGGTGGTGCAGAAAGTAAATTAGAGGAAAATTAAAAATAAGGGTGTGAACACATGAGCAACATTTCTTGTACATAATATTGTTCATTTTGAAGCTGATAAAATTATTCATTAGTCAGAAGAATCTTTGATAAAACATTTTTAATTCATAGTCAACCACCATCCTTAAACAATACATGATAACCAGGAAACGTGAGTTCAGAATGAGAGATGGCGAATTCCCATCTTTTTTTGGAGGGATGAATGGGGTGAAAATGAAACAATTTGGGTATATTAAAATTTTCTTGATATGACATAAATATTCATCAGTACCTCATAAACATATTTGTCTAGAGAGGCTTCCTTTTTTTCAATTTTGTCCCATTTAACAATGTGTCAACAATAAGTCTACAATACACATTGCTCCTCATTTGCTGGGGTAATAATCCTTGCTTCAAATGAAATATCAAAACATGATTCTGTCTACCTCCTTCTAGTTTGCGGAGAAACGAATAACTTGACTTATTAAAAAATCGAGTTCATTACTTTTTATATAACATTGGCATCATCCATATAAGTGCCACGTGCAATTTTTTCAAGTTTCATATTTGATGCACATCTCTGACTTGCATTCAAGTTAAAATCATAAAATGCCAAAATTATAAATTGCAAAAAATTGTTTTATCCCACTAAAAACTCTAATTTTCAAAATAAGTCTATTTAAATTGGTCAACAAAGGTAGTATAGACATATACAAAATTACCAGTGCCCTCAAATCCATCTTTCACTCAAGTGGTAATTACGTTGCTCTGGGGCACAGGGGAAATGGACATGTATAGAACCAAGTCAAGACGTTTGAATGGACTGAAGTTCCCAATAATTAACAAGATAGCTATAGGCACCAGGAATCTTTAGTTCAGGCTAGGATCCAAATCCTAGGTTTAGGGCGTATGTCACGCGTAACTTTGCTTTGGAGCTGTTTTGAGGTGAAAGAAGGAGGGACATTGTTACACAGGGTACGGTATCAATGTCTTTTGAGCAGTTTTTCTCTAGAAATATGACATTACCGGCCCACCTCCTTGTCAAATTGCCACAGTTAAATAGAGAGACTAAACATTTACTTTGGAAAAGCACCATGTTGTATTTTCTTATAATTACTGCAGGTATAATCTAAACTAACAACTTCAGTTCAGCACTTCACTTTAATTAAGCACAGTATTACTTTACACTTGTAATATATTACAAAATGGTCCATTAAAAAGTATCTTCTGCACTTATACATATTTACACAAATAAATATCAACTACTATTACAGTATATATTTCAAGAAAATATTTCATTTCTTAATCCATTATTTTTTATGAGTTAAAATGTAAAATGATGATCTTATATTAATTTTTCACTTTTCCAGTCTTTCATGCACTGATTACTAAGTTTCACAGAGAAGACTTCACCTCACAAATCCTTCATATAAAAATTGCTAATTTCTATTGAAAATGCTCCTTGTTAAGTCTTAAAAATGTAGTTCTACCGAGAAAACTGTCTCCTTTCTTTTCCACTGTGTTTATCAACAGATTTATACATTTTTGTTTTTTGCATGTGCTTCTGTTTCTGGTAGCCAAATCCTCCACCACTCCCACCTCTCCTCTTCACATGACCTCCTTTGCTGCTGTGAACATCTGAGAAACTGTTAAGGAAAATAAATAATTCAAATATTTGTTAACTTGCCGCCACTTTCATCTTTGAAGTGTGTGTGTGTGTGTGTGTGTGTGTGGGGGGGGGGGGGGGATGATGAAAACTTCATTAACTGGTTATTTTCAAGCATGCATTCTGATCATTACTGATGTCAAAATTGGAATTTATCAAAACGGCATAATGCAAATTGCATGACAGATGTAAAAGTCTATAAATGCTATAACAGCATATCTGTGGAAATTTTGTTAATGGAAAAACTGAGTGAAAATGCTTTGAAGACTGAAAAAAAAAAAGGTCACAGATTTGTCAAAACACTGGAAAACTCATCTCCTTTCTAAAAATGCTGCCTTTATCAAGCTACATTCAGCTCAATTTGTATATTAAAGCATTAACAAAACTGAAGTGTAAAACCGCAGGGAAAATCCAATCATTACACTACAACAGACCTATACTTCCAGCTTGTACAAGCAATCAATTAACAACATGACAACACAGTGGGACCAGCTTCCTGGAGGCAAGCAGCCTGCACACGAACACATAAAAAGACAAATCTATACACCAGTGTTCCACAGAGGAAAAATCTGCAGCCGAGCATAGCAATCCTTTAAAAGCAGCACTAAATGAATAATGAAAGCTTTGGAAGAGTTCAACTGGAAACAAATACTGTCTTATTGATTGTCTTGTGTTAAGTCTGGCAGATTAAATGCTATTAAACTGTGAGAATTACTGTTGAAACCCATCAGCTCACATTGCACATGGTCAACAATGCTTCAATCACAAAAGTTGCTAAGATATCAAAGGATCTGCCCTGCAGTTACTATGATATAGCAAATACTTGGTAGAAACCAGACATATTACAGCCCACACACAACATTAACTCCATACACACAAGCAAATTCAATGCTGGACTCATTCTAGCATGTATTCTTTTTTTCACTTTTACCTAGGACAGAAATAATTCATTGGATTTAGCAAAGTAGCATTTATAACTTTCTCTGGTTTTGGGGAATTCTCATTTTCATTTCTGATGAAAATTTGCAACGACTCTTTTCATCAAGTACCACGTAACATTGAACACAGTCCTGTCTCACTGCACTTATTTTATGCAAATGGGTGTAGCTGGCTGTCATGATGTTCAAAATTAATGGTTAGTAAGCATGAAGTGTGAAGATTGTCCTGTTGGTGAAGTCAGAGGTATGAGTAGTGTTATCATTATTATTTTTAAATGCCATTACTTGAAAAATAAAGAAAAAGAAAAAAAAAGCCAAGTAAGCTGATAGGACCCTGGTGTATATATGATCCTGATTTGAAATGTATATTCTTGGAAAAAATACCTAATTATGGAATGGTATGTTAACTTGGGTTACAAAAAAGTCTAATTATCAGATGTTAGTCTTTGAAATGAATTGCTTCTGGGAATTTGTACCATACAAATATAAACTAAGTACCATACGATTAAAATCAAAACAGATATTACATTTCTCGAATAAAATAGAAACACAAAACAAATACAGTTACTCAAAGAATCTAGGTACACGTTCAATAATTAAATGGCAAACAAGATAGTCCATTACTATTTTCTTCCCTGGTGGGATTTCAGACATTCCATATCAAGAAATTGGGTAAAATTTTGTTGCAAGGAAATGTTCTTATAACTCTTACAGGTCAGATACAAGAACATCTATTCTTAGATTTCTGATACCTACTAGGTGCATAATTGCCTGACACAGCAGGTTCATTCTACCATCTCACAATCAATTTCTCCACTAGCTTTAATGACCTCATCTCACCTGAACTTGGGTACTTTTTTTCATGTCGAGTCTGATTTTATAGCATACTATTATTGCATGATTGCAAATATTTCATGGCTTTGTAAATAGTATTGATCCGGCTGGTAAGAATAAATGGTGCTGTCTTTATAAAAAAAGCTTCTGCCTTTTTTTTATTTCCATTCCTAGCAATTCATTTTAACTTCACGAGCCTTTTCCTTACCACATATTTCCACAAATGATGACAATCAAATTGAAAAGATACTGCTAAAGGGTAAAAATGTTCTGCTCTATCTAAAAATTACTTAGTGACAGATTAACCCCCCAAATTCATCAAGACTGAGTGCAACCTTGGCGGTTATTTTACTTAGAATATATGTACTCTCTTTTGTGTAATGTCATTTAAAACTCGTGAAGAAAACATTATTTGATTAGAATTGATTGTCTGAAATATTCTCATTAATTTACTGCTGGATGTAATGTAAAATTAGAATTCAGCCAGAGATGTTGTGTGCCAAAATGCAGCTTTGTCATCCAACACAATTCCCTTGTGCCTCTAATCCCCTGTAAGTAATCTTACTACAGTCAACAACTATTTGCTAAAAATCCATCAATTTCCCCCTTTAATCTAATCAAAGGTGGTTGCATAGTGTCAAGCAAAAAGCAGGATAGATTTGTCTTATTTCAAAAGTATTCATGAATAAACAAAGTGCCACTGTTTAGATCAGATCCAAATTTTTTGTGATGAGGCTTGTTCAAAGTCACACTTCAAATGCTGCTAAATACATGCAGCATGCCAAGTACATTACAAAATCAATAACCTAAGCATCTATTCAATTGATTTAGTGCCCTTCTTTAGGCCATGCCCTAGACACTAAATTACTGAGGTTTTTGAAATCATTTGCTCCAGATCAAAATGATTCTTGGCAAATTTCACAAGTTGCCCAATTAAGAGAATCTCCACAGTTGTGTATCTACCTATGTGTAGCACAGCAGACCCAGACAGATAAATGCTTGGTTAATTTTTCCAAATATGGAATATAAGAACAAAATCGTAATTGTTCCATTAACTGCTTCTTTTCTACATTAAAATTTTCTTCGTGAAATCTAACCATTATCTTTAATACTGGACACTTGATAACTGACAGAAATCTGACCACCAGTTACATCCATACACATCCCAGATTGATTTTCTTGCTAAACATACCAGGTCTATTTCTAAACCATGGCTTTATCTGACAATTAGCACACAACCATCACATTCTTTCAAGATGCTAAGACTGCTGCACTAAAACCTACTAATGTACCAATCTTGACATTTTGTATGTATAACATGTAACCTGCCAACCATGAGAAGTGATAATGACATGTTAAGTGTCATTCTACAAATGGACGAATTAGTAGGCCAACAAGCAAATGGGCAATTTAGTGGGCAAAGAAGTAAAAGGAGTAATGAAGAGGCAGGCAGGCACAGATAGAAAGACAGAGATCTTTATGAAAACTCTAACTTTTTACAAGTATCGGAAAAATCAATTATGTGCTTATCGATGAAAAATTACTTTTGAGTCAAGACATTCACGAAAAACAAAAATGTTAAGCATCAATCTGCTCTTGGAAATTACTATGACAAAATCAATCCTACACTGAAAATGTGCAAAAAAATTATAAATTGATAACACATTAAGTGTTATAAACCATGAAAAGGATACTCAAATCAACATATGGGGGGACTTTAAACCCAAATGACACGGCAACTTTCTGAAGATCCAAGTTGTTGACATCGAAGATCTGTTTCAGACTGTGAGAAGCGTAAGCTCGTACAAAAGCTTTGTACCCTTCCTGGGCAGACTTGTGGAGAAAGTAGTTTTTCTCTATCAGTTTCTCCAGCTGCAACAATGAAATGGGTATTATATAAGTAATCTAGATTAATATGAACCTGGTAAACAAGTCAAATGGCAAATGGAAAATTATAAATTTTACGTCTATAGATTTGGATCCTTCACAAAATTTCAAAATGGGCAAATGCAGTATTTTCAAAAAAGAAGTGGTTTTATTCAGAATATTCTACCAATTAACATGAAGATAGGGAGCAAAATACATCATTTTAAGGGCCTTAAGTTATGACAACAAAAACTGAAAATAAACAATGTACAAACCTGTGGCTGTATGTCTGAAATCTTGCTCCAAGAGAAGTCAAACTCATTCAGAGGTACTTTGGACTGCTTGAGATATCGTAAGAAGCCCAGTTCTTCTGGTCTCAGTATTAACAGTGCATGTCCTGTGCCTCCTTCTCCTCTTGCTGTTCTCCCTACTCTGTGAATGTATTCCTGTAAAAGAAAAAAAGTCAAATTAAAATGGAAAATTTTTAATCAGTGGTCATTCTCCTTGAACAAAAAGACAAACATGAATAATCTTTCACTCCTTTGATATATTTAATGACTTTAATCAACAAAGTTTGTGAACCAGTGAAATATTATAAAATGGTTTCTATCAAAGAAATGTTTTTTATATTGACATAGTAAGACAAATGCAACATACTGCCATCCCTTTTTTTAATTCAGTCATTTTGAAGACTTAAAGGATTCAACTTAACATTTAGACACAACATGCTTACTGCAACAACAACATCTAGCATTAGACACAGTGAGACAAAAGAAAGCAGACTGGCTAAAGACGGTCACATTTATTCAAAGTAGTTTTACTCCGAATGAAGATGAATTGGTCATTTCAAACTTTACCTTAGGGTCATCTGGAGGGTCAAACTGGACAATCCAGTCCACTGCAGGGATATCCAGACCCCTGGCAGCTACATCTGTACATATCAATATAGCCTCCTTGGCATTGCAAAATTGGAAGAATGTCTGGGTTCTTTTAGTTTGCTTTTGTTTACCCTAAAGATGGAAGTAGAAAAGAAAAAAAAAAAAAAAAAAAAAAAAAAAAAAAAAAAACACATCAGTTTATCTTATCAGGAAGAATGTTTTGGTTCTTTTAGCTTGATCTTTTATTTTTAAAGATGAGAGCAACAAATATATAATTATCAGTTTATCTTATCATTTATGAAAGATAACAGGTTTGTGCTACAATTCAAATACAAGCCATGATTTACAAAAGATAACAGGATCGAGCTACGATTCAATTTCAAGACATAACTTGGAAACTTTGAAAAATCCATAAATTAAGTAAACAAATCTATACTAGAATACTTACATGTATACACATAACTGGCAGATCAATATAGTTCAAAAGTTCATGATGATATTTGACTGATAAACAGGAACTCATGAAAACCATGATCTTTTTCTTTCTGTTCTTCTTTAAGAAAGTAAAAAGTAACAGGAACCTTTTCTCTGATGGACACACAACGTAACCCTGAAAAATTGATAAAAAATCATGTGTTAAAATTCTAGTCCTGACAATAATTATCATTTATCGAATAATATAATTCATTAATTTTCAAGCCATAATCTCACAAGATATCTTTTGAAACAAGCAACACTGTACTTCAAAACTATCCATCCACATTACCATCAAATCACTACAAGTTGGACAATCTGAAAGATAAACATCAATTTTCAAACAAAGGTCTTTAAATGTAAACTGCATTTAATACTTAACCAACCTGTTCTAGGCCTTCCACAGTTGCCACACTTTTGTCATCATCAACTCCCACATACATGGGTTCTTTCTTCAGTGAGACCCTGGCTAAATCATCCGTTTTCCTTGTCTGTGTTGCTGAGAATAGCATTGTCTGCCTCCTCTCTAAAATGCATTAGTTTGGATACATTAAAGATAAATTTTTCACTAACAAAAAATGCCACTTAATAAAGTTATTCATCTTTGTATACAATAACAAAAAATTCTTATTCAATCACTTCAGCTAATATTCTTAAAAACATCCATACAGAATATCACATACCCCAAGAGACCCCCAAGTTATTTTAAACCTGCTACTTACTTGGCAGGAGTTTCATTATCTGCTTCATTTCTTCTTCAAAGCCTATGTCAAGTATTCTATCAGCTTCATCAATGACTAGACATTGTAGGTTCTTGTACATAAATTCAGCAGTGTTCTGGAACAATTTAAATGAGAAGAAATCAGAAACCCTGCAACACTCACACACATCATCCACAGATTAGTAAAAAAAAAAGTTTTGTTTCACACACAAGATTTCTGTTTGAGCAGATAGGCCCCAGTGAACACACATGAGACTGTGGGTTGAGAACAGCACTAGAAAGTCACAATATTGATCCATAAATAAAAAATTCAATTCACAACACTGCTTGTTAAAAGATCCGTTTTTTTCCTACCAACATTTCTTCAAAATAATGTGCCGGGTATATAAAACACACAACAAAGCCTTCACCTGCATGTGATCTAATAATCTTCCAGGTGTAGCAACAAGAATGTTGATGCCTTTTGCCAGTTTTTTTGCTTCTTCTTGTCTGTTGGTTCCTCCCATTATCAAGCCATACGTGTGACAGTGATATTTTAACAGTTCTTTCAGCACCCCAAATGTCTGCATAGATAATTCTCTGGTTGGTGAAATCACAATAATGCCAGTCCCTGAAATAACACAGATTAGGATATATCTCCCCATCTGATCATTTTAGATTTTTTTTAGAATTAATGAAGTTTTTTAATTGTGCTACATTTTCATTACAATGATGTGCAATGATGGTGTAGTAGACAAGGTATGGGTTCTCAAATTCTTGTTACAAAGTTGTTAACATATGTTATGGTAACTAACAGCCTTATCTCTCTGGGTTGCATTTCTGTGTCCAAGTGTATTCTAGCATATTTGTAAACTGATAAAAGACTGGCTGGTTAGGAAATAGCTGTCAATTCTTTGGCAATTAGGGGAAATCCAAGATATGACCAAAGAAACATTTTTTTTTTTAATTCAGCCGAATTTCATTTACCATCTGGATTATGATGGCTACCTACAGGTACTTGAGCAACAACTTTTTTTCTATTATAAACTGGTAGAAAAGGCATGTTAAAATGACAGACCATAGCACTTACCATTTCTGGGCATAAATTTCAATTTGTATAGTAACTCAATGGCAGGAACCAGGAAGGCTAATGTTTTCCCACTTCCTGTTTTGGCTGCTGCTAGAAGATCCCTGAAATAATACCACAAAACATTAAAGCAAAGAATGTATATTAACATTAAGAGAAATAAAATTCCGAATATAGATGATAAATCTTTAAACAAAAAGAGACACCAATTATCTAAACAAATCCATTAAATTCTCGAAAATTATAAGGAAAAAAAAAGAAAAAGAAAAATGTTTTGTCATTATGGTGTATATATTTTGCACTTCAGTACCATCATCCTTTAATTTAAAATGCTGATTACGTTTCAAAGCTCCAAATAGTAATTTTACATAAATATAAGCATGCTAACTAGTAGCTCACATCCAAACAAGCTTAAAAACATAACCTTACCTTCCTTCAAGTAAAAAGGGAATAGACTTGGCTTGAATTGGAGTCATGTGAGTGAAACCCATATCTTTCACACCTTTCAAAGTTAATTCACATACTTTTCCTTCTAAAGACTCAAAGGATGTGTCTGATAAAATGCCCATTCCTAAACTTGTGCCAGGTACTGAAAACAATGATACTGGCATTATAAATGTAGAAAATCCTCATGCAACTGCAAAAGATATCAGGTAGTAAACTATAAAAGATATTTCCAGACATAACAGAAACTCTGAGGGAACTGCATGCATGCTCAGGGTTTACTGAAATTTAAATATTATACTACCTGTCCCTGTTTAAGTATTTCTACTGGTTTCCTTTCCTTAAAAATTTATTTGAACATCTAAGGTCATAAAATTCAGATTAAAACTTTTAGAAAGTGTACTTATTAATGTCAGAATTTATTAATAGTGCCGACTGGACTTCACTATTGCTTGGTATTGGTTCTGAAACTGGCAAGTATTCACTTGTTAACATTTTTACTACTCACTTTCATTTCCTTTCAAAAGATACACACAATAAATCACTTACATTGTTGTGTATCATCTTTTTTCTTCTTTGAACCCTGCTTTTCTACTCCAGAATTTTGTCTTTTCTTTTGTACAGCTTTATCATTCTCTGATTCCCTTTCATCATCATCATCATCATCATCATATTCTTCTTCATCAACATCATCATCATCTTCTTCTTCTTCATCTTCTTCATCAACATCATCATCATCATCTTCTTCTTCATCAACATCATCATCATTGTCGTCATCATCATCACCAACTTCATCATCATCAGAGACAGCTTGTTCATTTTCATCAGATCCCACTGACTCACTGTTGTCTGAATCCTCCTGATCACTTCCTCCTTCAACCACTGGAGTCCTATATTAAAACAAAACAAGAAGTGTATCATATGAGGATTTTAAGTCAATAGTAGAAATCAAGAACTTGAGGAACTATATCAATTTCTGCTTTGACAAGGTCAAACCAAACTTTGACTTAAATGACTTCAAATTTGATTTTATTTTAATAAAGTTATTAAAATAACTAAAACATTCAAGAACAAACCCTGTTGCTTCCTCTTCATCAATGCTGCTTTCCTCACTCTCCTCTTCCGATTCCTCTTTCACTTCTTTCGCCAACTTGGGTTTCTTAGGTTTCACTAAAAGATTGAGTAGCCTTTCTTATCACAAGGTAACTATCATAACTCCAGGCCTTATAAACAGATAAGACATTTTTTTAAAATCAAGACTGAGATTTGTGAGGACAAATGCCCAAATTTGACTCTAGCCCTGAATAACTATCTCAACGTAAAACTACTTGCCACAAGCGCAACGTTTCATTACACAAACTGTTAATCTGCTTATCTACATGTTCGAAAAACATTCTGTACGAGCCAGAGATTGATGAAAACTAATTGCTGGTGTATAAAAAACACAGACCCAGATGGATGCTGTTTGTGTAATGAAAGTTCGACATGTTTACCGTGTGGCAAGTAATTCTACGTTAAGGTAGTTAATACAGGGCTGAAATCATTAATCTGTGGATTCCTGCTCCCAAATCTAAGGCTCGTGTTAGAAATCAGCAATTATTGTTTATGAGTCCTGAACTCTGAATCATTTGGTTTGGAATCCTAAATATAACCAGCATGCTTATGTAAAACATTGCCTATTCATCAAAAGTATGCCATAACTCTTCAGCATTATATCTTTTTGGGCTATCAGATGAAAATTCTTAATTCCTGAATCCAGCATAACCACTGACCCCAGTGACGCTGTCAATCATTAAAACATATATATATACCCATGGTCTTATAACTTTTATTTTTAAATTTTTATTTGAAAAAAAAAAAAAAAAAAAAACAATCTAGCATTTTCAAGAGTAAACAGAATATTTGAGGTTCATTTTAGAACTCAGTTGATAAAAGTTTAAATTGGATTTTTTTATTACTTAAAAGAATGCAATATCATTTTTTTCACTCAAATTTTGCAATGAGATCTGAACAAAAACTTATCACAACTTTATTTACCCTTTTCTTCACTTGGTCCTAAACTTCTCTTCATTTTCTGCTTTTTCTTTGCACCAATAGCACTGTCCTTTATAATTTTTTCAACTAAAAATTAATACAATAATTTATTTAAATGACTTAAATGAAGCTATCAAATCTGAGATGTTCATCTTGACACCCCAACATAACATGTAGACCTGGTGGTAAATGTATAGTACAGTACAGAATACAGATATAAAAACATAATCTGATACCCTGGCATTCTACACAAATTATTATTACATAATAATGTCCTCAGATACAGAAAAACTATCTTAAGACATTTGAAAAAAATTTACTTGTATACGTTTTACCACAAGAAAACTCTGACATAAAAGCCTGCACATTCAAATATGTGACAATTTTATATTGTATTATTACCACTTTAATACAATGTCTCTTCACCAACCTTTATTGTAACTTTTCGCAGCAATCCCATTCAAGCCAATCTGTTTTTTTTTCTGCAGCTGAGGTATAGGCTTATTTTTTGTTGTCATTGCATTTTCTGAATATAAAAAGTTAAATAGTAAGACATCAAGAAAAATTACAGTAAGCAATTCAAATTTATATAATTTATTCAAGATTAAAGGAGATTAAACTCCTACAAAACCATAACCTACAAAACTACTAAACCATAATCTGAAGCTAGGGAGAATTACAAAGCTATAGTCACGACGGCTTGCACTCCCCTGTAGTCCACATAACTACAGTAACAGACTTTTATTCACATTTTTTTAATTTCATTTTTGTGCTAGATGATTTAAATATCGTAAACACAACACATACAACTCTCTAGCAGGACGTCTGTGTACACAGCCAAAAGATAATTAACATTAATGATCTGTGATATCCTTCAGTCAGCAGAACCTGTGAATATTTTACTTTGTTAAATCAGATTACAGGAGATTGGTCATGATAAAAGATCTGCCCAGAAATATGTTATAACGGCATTTATTTATGTTCAAAATTATGAAACCGTCTAAATCACTATCACAGTATTTGGAAACTGTACTGGAACTAAGTGGAAGCACACTGGGTGTCTCGATAGTTCGAAGGTTCATTGGTCCGAAAAATCGTAACATTTTCATCAGTTTTTAATTCAAGGATTCGTTGGTCTGAAGGTTCTAAGGTGAACTTTCGGACTATTGAACCTTCGGATTACTGCTACAGCCCCAAGCACACACGTGTTTCCACTCACCACTAAAGTTGAGTTTACATGTGATCAACAAAAGTTTTCTGAATTAAGTTGGAAACAATAGTCTTAATGACAAATGACACGCGTCATCCCAAAGAAACTAAAATACTTACCAACTTTTACATCATCAACAGCCATTTGCTTTTGTTGTTTAGGCTTCTTCATCTTTTTCTTCTTCGTCTTCGAGAATGCAGTCTGCTTGTCGGCCATATTAACACATGTGTAGGAAACCGCAAAGGGTCATGGGAAAATATTGGTTTCTTTTTCTTTACAGATACTTTTATTCTAAAATTACACTATTTAAAGGATACCACATACTGTCTTTAATTGAGTTTTGTATGATTTGTACATAAATATGGAATAGATTACTATCTACCTAGTCACGTATTAGCGCTATCACCTAGCACTTGTTTCAATATGGCGGAAGATGGTAAGAATTTAACTTAACGTTGTAAACAATATTCTAATTCGTTTGTTTTTATCTACTCAACAGAGAGAGGCTAGTGGATGGGAATTATATCCGAATTTGCCTAAGCAGTTTTCAGTCTTAACATTGCCAATATAAGCAGTGTTCAGCCTTAACATTGCCAATACCATACGTACCATAATTACTGTAAGTACCCACCACGTAAGGGCAAAAACAGGCAAAGGTCCCGAGTATTTTAGTGCAAATGAGTGAGAACTGAACGCAGGCTGGCTGCTAATTGGCAATACACCAACTTACAAAATGTCGCAGAAAACCATGTACACAACATCTTAGAATTGAAAACCTTTGTATACTTTCACTTACTGGGTATAACAATTACAGTTAGCTCAATGAGTTGGGAGGTATTTAAATTAAAAAGTGTGTTTATTGTACAACTTGCCTCTAATTACCCGCAGACCACAGCAGTTGAGAAGAGTGTTTGTTCGTGTGTTTTTAAAATAAATTTTACTTTCCTTAACCTTGGTCTTTGCAGATGATGTCCCTCCTTTAGAGGATATGTCAGAACTTTTACAAAGAGTTGATGAGTTAAGGGAATTCAAGTCAAAATCTAACACTGCACAAATTCAACCAAATGTTTTATCTCAAAGAGAACAGATCATAGAAAAGGAAAATATTCATAAATCTAACCAAAAGAAGCCCGAGGTATGTAAGACCACTAAGTATCAGAAGAGTAAAGTTTGCCATGATTCAGAATTGCAGCAAAATTCACTTATGAATGTAAGAAACCAAATTTTAGATGATCTTGAAAAATATTTAACTTTTAACATGTCTTTAGATGAGAATCTTTCATTTAACTTAAAAATTGAGTTACTTGATAATTATTATCATTTCTTAATGTTGCATAATATTTTAATGAGGTTAATCATTTTTCATTGCAGACTAATGCATTTGGACACGCCAGCAGTCACGAAAAGAAAAGTGTATCTAAAGATGCAGGTGGCTTTGGTGGATTTAAAAAGGGATTTTTGTTTGGTGGAAGTCCTGATACAAAATCAAAGCCAAAACAGAGTACAACAAATGACTCCAAAACTGTGAACAATGATACAACTAATGATTCAATTCCCTATTTAAAGCCAAAAGAAACAAAAGAGAAAGAATATGAAATTCCAGAAGTACAAACAGCCATGAAAAGTGCAGAATCCCTTTTACAAAATAAGGGTAAAAATGCAAAACAGTTATAAAATGCATTGCCATTTTTGAATAAATGTATTTGGTGCTATAAGTAAATATATTAAATAAAGTAAGATATTCACACCATGTGAAGCACTGATGTCCATTATACCATTAATTCATAATGAATTTAATACGTATTTTCAGTTTTTATTGATTTAAATTTCATTGCAGATTGGATCACAGATGATTTACTTGGGAAAGTTGAAAACAATGAAGTCCTATTCAAAAGGTTGTCAGATCCCTCATTCACGAAAGCATTGACAGAATTTCAAACCAATCCACAAGCAGCAATGCTGAAGTACAAGGATAATCAAGAAGTGCAGCAATTTTTCAAAGAATTCTGTGGACTTTTAGGTAGTTCTTTTTTGAAACATTAAAGGATAATTGCTAGGTTAATATCCTCAGTTTGTTATTTTACCATTTTGATGGAAAATTTAGCAAATATCCAAATTCATGATATTAAAAAAATATCAAAAATATTTGCATCAGCTTTGTATTTTTTAAAAATATTTAAGTGCATTGTTTATGCATATGATGGTGTTTATTTTATAACTGGGTCATTTGGCATGTCACTTCTTTCATGAAGTTACTATCTCATGTAAGAAACTTTTTTTTCCTTTCAGGTGACCACTTTTCAAATATGCCAGATGGTCAGCCCCAGAAACCCAAAACTGATACAATATCCACAACCATGCCCTCCCAGGGTGCAGACATATCTGTGAGGAGCAGCACTAATCCTAACCAACCAACAGCAGCAGATGAGAAGAAAATGCAAGAAATTTTGTCAGATCCAGAAATTAGATTTGTGCTGCTGGACCCATTCATTCAACAGCTCTTTGAAACTTTACGGAAAGACCCTGAAAAAGGACAAAGGTAGTGGTATTATTTGATTCAAGGGTAATACTTGTCCTATCTTTGCGTTGCTTTTATTTTTACCAATTTTTCAAAACCTTTGCATATAGTCAGGAGGAGATTGTAAAATAAAGCACTCTGATAATTTTGGAAGATTTCATCAAGGCCTATGCTTATTTTCCCTGTTTTATGTTTTTAGGATGTTATCAACAGCTCAGCCTGCTCAACAAGAAAAAATACAGAAACTGGTAGATGCTGGACTTCTGGCTTTTCAGAGGTAGCACACAACCAGGGAGCACTAAAATTGCAATTTAACTTAATGGATACAAATGGACATATAAAAAAAATCTTTGATGCTGGTTCAAAATAAGTTTCAATATACATGGCATCTTCATTTAAAATCTATGTCAATTCTGCAACAGTTTCTAAGCACGAGGCTAATAAGAGGGTGATCAAACTGGCTGAGCCCAAGATGACCACATTTACATATGGATCTTTATTAATGTGGACAGGATGGAAAATTGGATAGTTGTAAACTATGAGTAATGTATATATTCATGAAAAAGAAAAGATCACAAGAAAATGAAGTGGAGATTTACATATTATTTATAAATGCATATTAGTTAGGGAATTTTGGTTCAATTTTTGAAAAAAAAACTCCCTTTTTTGAGCAACTGCTGTCTTGGATAATTGATTATTGAAGTTTGATAAGCATCAAGGTTATCTTAATTGCTCTTTCCAAACATTTTAAAATCAGATGATATATTTAAAATGATTTAAGAGGACAGAGTGAACATCCACGTATATACCACATTGATTTTGAGGTAAACATTTCAATTAAGTAGGTAACGGTTACATATCGTATTTATATGGTCTTTTTACTTAACTGAATGTTTGAAGATAGTGAACATGAACAAAACATAATGTAAATAATTTAAATGGTATGAATTGAAAAATGTATAATGCTGACAATAAAAAGCAGAGAATAATAATAACATGAAAGGGTTATCCATGAACTTTAATTGTTGTAAAAGAAAACAAATATGAAAGCAATGCAACACCACTACTGTAACAGAAAAGTTTCACAGAGTTTAAGCACAACCCAATTTTTAAAAGTTCATTAATTTTAAAGGGAGAACTTGGTATGCTTCAATACCTGTATGTATTAACTTTTTTGCTTTGCAGTTTCATAAATCTTTAATAACCAATCTTTTTTGTCCCTTTTATATCAAGGCCTTTTGAAAATGTTTCATTTTTTTCATTCAAGTGTGTATGCTGCAAACTCAAAATGTCCATAAACCATCTGTGCAAGTAAACTTTTTGGTCAGACTTAACAACAAATGTAATTCAAAAGTAATCAGAAACATGTCTTGCCTGAAATTCTGGAAAGGTAGTATGTTTATCTTTATTAGTGTATATACAACATAGGCACATTTACTTATCTTTTGTGCACAAGACTCATATTGCTGGTTTAACAGTTATTGAATAACAAGTTAAGCCAAAATAATAAAGTTATTTACAATCAAATGATTTCTGCTACTTTTTTTCCATTTTAAGAAAATAATGTGAAATGTAATATCAACACCTTTCTATATATCTGTTTCTATTAGATATCATTGAATTATCAAGAATATCTCTAAAACCCTATGTTTCTAGATTCATTTCTTTGTAATACTGTAAACTTTTAAAACAATGATACAATTCAATCAGTACCCTTTTGTGAGACATGTAATGAGAAATAATAATTATTAAATAATAATAGGTAGATTATCTTTATGAAAGATACCAAATTTTGAAATAAAGTAAACAAAACAACAGCAGCTACTGGTCTACAAAGACGGTGCAGCTTACGGCTTGATGTCTATTACAGAGAGTCAAAGCATACAATTATAATAAATGCTTGGACAAAAGTGCAAAATTCACTGAGACCTTTAATTACAGCTTCAGGGTTCTATTACAAATCATATGACTACACTCAAATCAACAGCTTTAAGTTAAGGTTAAACACAACAGAAATGGTATTTAGAATAACATCTCCTATTGGTCCACTTCCACAAAGATACTGGTGGATGTATTCCTGATGTTAGGTGAGATCACGCCAGCAACTACAAGAGTTACTAAAAGCCTTGAGAGGCACGAGGTGTTCATGTTTAACTAACTCATTCTCATTCAAACAGCTCCTCAAATTGCGTTTAAGTATGTGTACATCAGAATAATATGGATACTTCCATCTGAAGACTAGCTTTAGAGCACTTATGACATGGTCTCAAAACTTTCAGGTTTTGGGCACCAAATGCAGCAGTGAGACAAAATCTCAAGCGTTGTCTGTGTATTCAATTGGGTAGCAATTTGTGTTCACATCCAAATGATTGTTTGTTCCAGGAAAACCACATGCAGTGCTTCCTCAGATAAAACGCCCTAAAATGTATACAACTCTGGATTTTTTTTCAATGTTTACATGCAGCAAGTGTCCTGTGCAGTCTTGCCAGATTGGCCATGGTCAATCGCGTTGTTCTGCTCTTGTCTTTGGTGGCCTTACTCCTCCTTTTTTAGATTTTTTCCCTCCAGTTTTCCAGGTCCTCCAGCTGTTGACTCTGTTTGTCCTGGTTTCCTGTAAAAAATTATTTATTTACATGATCAGATGAAAAACTATAATTTCATATTTTGTTTCAATTACTTTAAAAAAAGCAATATAAGCTGAGTAACTCTTTAAAACAAGGCAGCAAAGCTGTCAAATGTACAGACAAAAAGCAGGAAATAACTATGCACAAAATAGGCTACTGTCAATTCTGATGCAAAAGTACATTATGTTAAACTGCAAATTCAACATCAAATTTTAATTATGCTCAACAGGTAATACCAATGTAAGTAAAATGTGTAACAAGCATAAGGCTTCAGGCCCATGGGAGTTCAAGTTCACACTTTGAAAATGTATAACTTCCAGAAAAAGAAGCCAATTAGACTGCTTTTCCAACTCAGGATGCATGCCGATTTTCGAACTTGACTTGCGTTTTAGTAAGATCAATTACTCCTGTGAGTTTCATGACAACAGGCCTATCGGTTTTCCTTGAAATGTGTTTACAGTGTTGCATATATGCTGAAAAGTGAAAAAAAAGCATAACTTCTACAATAATGGCCCGATCATGCCGATTTTTCGAACTTGACCTGTGTTTTATGAATATTCATCAGCTCTGTAAATATAAAGCCCAAAAGTAAAACTGCCTTCCACTTATCGTGTTTACAATGAAAGTGCATGGCGCCGGCAATGACGGCGACGGCAGACGTAGGTGATGGCATTATGTACAGAGACATCTATATATATTTACTGTACTGTTTGAGAACAGTAATTGACATGGTTTTTCTTAAATGGTCATCCTGGGAGCAGTGCCCAAAATAGGTTTTTATCAAATTTTGATGCAATATTACATAATGTTTAAAGGGATAATAACTCTTCATTTTGGCCAAAAAATGAATTTTCCTGGAGTAAACAACAATTTTCCCATACTTACCAATGGTTAACAAATCCATTTTTACATTCAACATTAGTCCCTGTTTTTTTTCTAAAAAGTTTGGTTTTTCGTTAAAATCTCTTAAGAGATTATAACAGAGTACAGCCATCAATGTAAGTCACGTGATCTGAAGACAAGCTCAGATATCACAATAATAGCTACAACTGCTGTTTTTGTGACAAAACAGAATAAATTATATTTCTATGAGTTGTTAACAATGTTTTTATTGTGAAATAAAGATATCATACGAAGAGTTATTATCCCTTTAACAGCATAATGACCATCAATTTTTAATAATAAAATATTAGCATCATGGATATTCAGAAAATGTGACTAGCAAAGGTCTTCAGGCCCATGGAACTTCAAAGTCACAACTTGAAAATGCCAAAATGTAAACAAGACAGCACTGTTCTGAAATGTTTTATCCCCATTTTTAACATAAAACAAAATTAACAGTTTACTGCCATTTTTATATGATCAACTAAGAAAATTGATGAGATGGGAAAAATATCAATAAAACAGTGTTAAATGTCCAATTTCTTCCATTCTGAGATTCTGAACATAGTGAATGATTGAATCTGACAAACTGCAATGATATGAGTTTATTTCCATTTTTGACACTTTATTACACAATACACGATAACAAGTTTACCATCATTTTTACAAAATCAACTAACAATGTTGTAAAGATGCAGGAAATGTCAAACAAACACTTTTACGTATCTTATTAGTTAAATAATGAGACTGTTAACATGCCTAAGAATTGAATCTGAGGAAATGTGAAAAAAGACAGCACTGTTCTGACATGGGTTTATTTCCATTTTTAACACTTTTTTTAACATAAAACAAAATAAACAGTTTACTGCAATTTTTATATGATCAACTAAGAAAATTGATGAGATGGGAAAAATATCAATAGAACAGTGTTAAATGTCCAATTTCCTCCATTCTGAGATTCTGAACATAGTGAATGATTGAATCTGACAAACTGCAATGATATGAGTTTATTTCCATTTTTGACACTTTATTACACAATACACGATAACAAGTTTACCATCATTTTTACATAATCAACTAATAATGTTGTAAAGATGCAGGAAATGTCAACCAAACACTTTTACATGTCTTATTAGTTAAATAATGAGACTATTAACATGCCTAAGAATTGAATCTGAGGAAATGTGAAACAAGACAGCACTGTTATGACATGGGTTTATTTCCATTTTTAACACTTTTTTTAACATAAAACAAAATAAACAGTTTACTGCAATTTTTATATGATCAACTTAGATAATTGATGAGATGGGAAAAATATCAATAGAATAGTGTTAAATGTCCAATTTCCTCCATTCTGAGATTCTATACAAAGTGAATGATTGAATCTGACAAACTGCAATGATATGAGTTTGTTTCCATTTTTGAAACTTTATTACACAATACACGATAACAAGTTTACCATCATTTTTACACAATCAACTAATAATGTTGTAAAGATGCAGGAAATGTCAACCAAACACTTTAATGTATCTTATTAGTAAAATAATAAGACTGTTAACATGCCAAAGAATTGAATCTGAGGAAATGTGAAAAAACAGCATAACTTCTAAAATAATGGCCCGATTATGCTGATTTTCGAACTCGACCTGCGTTTTAGTAAGATTGACCACTCCTGTGAGTTTAATGACAATTGGCCTATCGGTTTTTCTTATATTGTGTTTACAGTATTGCACATATGCTGAAAAAAAGGAAAAAAACAGCACAACTACTAAAATAGTGGCCCGATCATGCTGTTTTTCGAACTTGACCTGCGTTTTAGTAAGATTGATTACTCTTGTGAGTTTCATGACAACAGGCCTAACGGTTTTCCTTAAAATGTGTTTACAGGGCTGCATATATGCTGAAAAGTGATAAAACAGCATAACTTCTACAATAATGGCCCGATCATGCTGATTTTTGAACTTGACCTGCGTTTTATGAATATTCATCAGCTCTGTTAATATAAAACCAAAAAATAAAACTGTGTTCCACTTATCGTGTTTACAGTGAAAGTGCACGGCGACGGCATCGCCATCGGCATCGGCATCGCCATCGGCATCGGCGACGACAGACGCAGGTGATGGCAATATGTACAGACACATCTGTGTCTGTACATAAAAACCAATGTTTTCTTAAGAGATATACCCATTAACTATTTAATATAAATTTGAAACCAAACCTGAGGAAATGACTTCCAGCAAATTCAAAAAGCAACTTTAAAATGACTGAAAAGCATTCTTCCATCAACAGCTCTTGATTCATAATTGTCTGTACCTTTTAAACATGTCTTCTGCTTCATCATTTCTCTCCAGTGTCCTCAGTGCCCTCCCAGCATTGGTTATAACTACTACATTGTTGGGCTGAAGGCTGGTTGCTTTCATGTAATACTGAAGAGCATCCTCATTTTTGCCTAGAAATGTGCATATTGTAAATACAAGAAAAGTAACTACTAGTGTCAAAATAGTTCTAAAATAAACCATGTACTCTGAATGATTTTAATATTGTAAGTGGATAAGCAAGAAACTCACACATCAAGAGGTTGCAAAGAATGTCAGTCACCATCTGAAACTTTTACACATGTAAACTCTTGCACACACACACACTTTAATCATAAAAAGTAGTATGAAGAATGTGTAGCACTTTGTTATATATAGATACAGGAGGTATAACATGCTACTTTGCCTGCAAAATAATAATAATAACAAAGTCTTGCTTGCCTAAATAAAATAAAAAAAAATAATGATAATAAAGTCATGCTTTACTGTTGTCAGGTCATCAATCACAGCTCTGATAGAGAAGAAAAATTTATGAAACATGCAACAGAGAAATTAACACCAGCACACACTTTCTGAAATATTTATTCACTTGCAGTCATCTCAGGAGACAAGCCAATTTGCAATATGTGAACTGCAAACACCAAACAGGATTTGTCCAAAGTGATTGATTATGCTTTTTTATGCTGTGTTTAGAGCAGGATTAACTTTAATTTTATATCAGTCTAATATGTGTTACCAGTTAAAACTTTAGACAGTTAACTGTAAAAAAAAAAGACCGGTCTAAATGCAGCTTAATAGAGCATGTGCAACCACCATAGACTCTTTCACACTTCAGTTTTTGTTTTAAATCTCTCAGCCAAGCATAAATTCATTGTTTCGCGAAGTAACCCTAACTCCTAACATGCAACCATCATACCTAGTCTCTGTAGAAATGCCCCATAATTGTTATAGGCATCGGCATTGTGGGGATCTTCCTGTATTACCCTCCTATAGCACCAGTCAGCCTCTGAGTGCCTGCCCAGTGTGGCTAGAATACCTCCCAGGTTAGTGTAGGGGTCAGTATAATGGGGATCTAGCTGGATAGCTCTGTGGAAGACCTTAATAGCCTCTTCACTGCGGCCAGTTTTACTGGAAATAGAGATAAAACTCATAGATTACAACTCATAGATTACCAACTTTCTATTTAATTTAAACTCAATTCAATCTCTTAGTCTATTAAGTCAATTTCCAATCTGTGAAAGCAAGTCTAAATTTGAAACAACTACCATCTTTTTCTTTAAACCAAATATGACAGTACTGAAAAATACCTACATTCTCTGGCAAATTTTACAGTTAATCAATTCAATCAAGAAGATAAATGTTAGTCAGTATTCTGCTGATTTTTCAGAATAAAATATAACAATTTACATGCAGCACCAAGAAAGACACACAATTCCAACAAGATATAAATGTCTTACTGCAGCACATTCCCCAGGTTGAAGTGAGCATTGGTGTGCCCTGGACTGATCTGTATGGCTCTTCTATAATGTGCCTCAGCATCCACAGGGTCATTCAGCAAAGTGCCAAGATTATTGTTGGCACTGGCATGGTTAGGAAACAGCCTGGAATAAAACTTCATTATCACCTATGAAGGATCGCCTACACGAAGGATTGTCTATCTATATGATAAATTACATTTATTTGTCATTGTTNGTAAAACTGCCCTCCACTTATCGTGTTTACAAGGAAAGTGCACGGCGCCGGCATCGGCGACGGCGACGACAGACACAGGTGATGGCAATATGTACAGACACATCTGTGTCTGTACATAAAAATGTGTTCGAAAGAGAAACACAATTATTAACTATCAGATTAAAATTCACACGACTTCAGCATTTTACTGTGAAATTTACCTCATAGTTTTTGTCCCACTGTGCCTTCACTTTGGCAAGTTCTTCAGCCTCCGCATCCTCTTCCGCTTTTCGTTTTCTGAAAATAGCAGATAACATTAGGAAAAGGCAAGCAATGTATAGTAATCTTCAGAATTTTCAACAAATAACCATGTCATTGCACACTTTACATTCATTCAAAACTTCATGTATATGACAACTAATACTGATAAACAATGAAATCACCATTCTTGGTTGACTCAGGGGGAAAATTATCATTAACTTGTCAGCACATATTTTCAGGAAGCAATTTACTTCTTAAAACTGTCAACTTGCCTTTCGTGCATGTCCTTGGTTTCTCTTTCTTGTCTTAACCTTTCAAGGTCAGCAAAAAGTTTACATGTCTGGACATAAACAGCATGCTTATACTGCAATAAAATCAAATCTAGAAGAGCAACCTGCTCACTCTGTGTTGATTGTTTTCATTACTTAAAATTTTGACAATATAAACCAAGCTCTCTCTCTCTCTCTATATATATATATATCTGTAACATTATTCGTGATACTATAAAATAACTTTTTTCCTTAACCTTTATTATGAAAAGCAAATCAAGTTTATCATTCTCAAATAAGGGTTTACAATAATCATAAAAGTAGCATTTCTGCATTTTATTTCATAAAACCATGCTCACTTTATCTGGTTCATCTTCAGGCACTATTGTAGGTTTTCCTTCCTTTTTTAATTGTTTTCTTTTTTGTTTTATCTGAAAATATCCATCCAATAACATATAATTTTTTATAGTCCAGTCTGATAATACTTAAGACTGATAATATATTGGACAAAAATCTATATACTTAAAACAATGGTAAAGGCAATCTTTTTCTGCCCCGTATCAGTCCCAATGTCTCTCTTTATTACAAGTTCAGCCTCTTACCATTTCTTCTGTTCTCACTTTGGCCTCTTCTATGATTTCTTGGCACCTTTTGTATCCCTCTTCATTTTCTAATGTCTTAAAAGCTTTATTCACAGCTGAAATAAGAGCAATAATATTTGTGGTTCAGTCTGAAGGTATTATAATCAAAAACACACACACACACACACACACACACACACACACACACACACACACACACACACACACACACACACACACACACACACACACACAGGTAAAAAATGACAAAACCTATTTCTAAGGGAATGCATACAAGTAGGCACTGGGATTTAACATTACCTTCAAAAGCTTTTTGAGCTCTTTCAGCATTCTCTAAATTTTTATCTGGATGGACAAGTATTGACATCTGGAATTAAAAGCAATGTTTTAATCATTATAAGAAAAATCACAGTAATCAAACATTTCACCCTGCTTACTTACCATTTTGAATTATTCCTGTTAGAATTACTAATCTGACCTCACTTCAAAATATGTTAATTGCACTTCAATTTTCTATGTCTTTTTCAAGTTTAGCTCAAATAATGCTGAATTAAACTCAACAGTGGAAATTTAACTAACTTGTCGGTATTTCTTTTTAACATCTGCAAGAGCTGTATCTGGATCAACTTGAAGAACCTAAAATAAAAAATATGAAATTATTTAATAAAATTACAATGTTAGAAAAAATAATATCAAGATCAACAGTTAATACATGATTTCGTGCATACAGAACCGAAAGAAACGAGTTTTAAATACGAGGAAAGAAATTGTAGTAGCATATGACATTGACACATCAACTCAAATGTTTTTACAAACATTTACACAATAATAATAATAATAAACATTTTCTTTAGCATGTCCTGTAACAAAAATGTGAATATGTACAATATTTGTCAATAAAAATAATGTAAAAACATTAAATTTCAAACATACATCAAATGGATTGAGATTGAAGTATGTAGAACCAGCTCTGTTAAGTCGATCAATTTGTTGTTTTGATGTTAACACAGCATCTCTCTGCTCAATCTGTTTCACCTGAAAATATTTATAAATATAATTTAGTACATGCAAGAGACAGAAAGGGATTTGAATGTATAATCTACAAAGTTGATGATAAGTGTTACATAATGTTAACTAAACAAGTGTGGTTACATCATCAATCAGCCTGACATATGACAAATGTTGCAATTAATGAGGTATTAACTTTAAATATAAGTATCATAAGGTTTACACTAAGCTAAGAATTCGTTCAGCATAAAATTGTAATAAAATTGAAGTACTGGGGGAGCTAATATCATAACAACGCATTCACTTCTTTAATTCAAGTTCACCTAGAAATAGAATAATAACAATGTTGGAGGCCACAATGTTGGGGGCAAAAATTCACCAAATAGATTTCGAATAAATTCGAAGCTTAAATTACATACCTCTGTGTAGAATTCAGAAAATGCTGCATCTGGTTCTGTTTTCTTTTCATCTGTGGAACTAGCTTCTGTTGTCGAGGCCATCTTGCCGCTTCAAAATTCTTTAGACTTTAGAGGCCAGAAAAAAGTTCCGGTAAAATTCTCATTCCAAGTTTTATAATATTTCTTTTAACTGTATCAGAAAAATAAATTCAGATTTATTACTTTTACATGATAATATCATATATGTTATAAACATGTCCAACGTATTTTATTATTCACATCCTCCATAGATAATGATATTTTACACTGTAGTGTTTCAGCAAATGCCAATTCTTAATTTCTATTCACCAAGACGAGAAAAAGCGGACGTTTCAATAATAATGTTCATAGCTAGGATGTTTCGTGGAGAAGTTCTTTAATTCGTATAAAGCGTAAGGTAAGTACCAGAGAAAGTTTGTTTGTAGATCAAGATAGTACAGGAATGTCGAAGAATTGGACTAAACCTTAAGTCAGTTCTTTGTAGTTTATCCATTCACATAATTCAGTTTCACCTTAGAAGATGTACACTATAGCTAATAAGTCCCCGGTCACTTTAATAGCACACGCTGTCTACAACAGACGCGCTAATGCGCACGTCCCCGACAGTGTTAATGATAGGGGGATTACGATGGACAGCGCATGTTGCTCACAGCAGTAGGCACTGCCGCCGAAGTTAAACCGGTAATTAAGTCTTTAACTTGACTAAACATGTTTTGCTTTGTAACTTGCGTCCTTCAGTCTTGCTGTTGCGGAAGCGCCGGCGGGACATATCTCCACCTTGCCGATATTTATCCCGACTCTCGACTTTAAAAGTATTATTGGTTTTGATTTTATCAAAGTCTTATTATATCAGAAAACCTGCATATTTTCATACGTTAAGAGAATTATAGAAACTGTAGAAAAAGCTACTCGTACATCAGGGATAAAAAACAACACCTTGCAGCACTATTACCTATTATTCATCACCAGAAGTTACTGTTTCACTTTTTTCTCCCAAATTACAAAGTCTGATGACAACTGAAAGCCTTTAGCCATACCTCAGGGCAGTGGGAGATAGTCTGGATTTGATTAAATGTAATAAAAGTATATTTTGAAGAATTTTCCTAGCCTTCGGCAATTTCCGCAAAGCTTCGGCATGCGCGGCAATACAGAGCTGTCGATATCTATATTCGTGAACAATAGAATTGGTGGAACAACGGTTAACGTCGTTGAGTCGTCTGCAACCTACCCGACGGGAGTTCGTGTCCCTGTCGGTACTTTTGAAGATTTTGAAATTGTCATTATTATAAATATCTATTAATATATAAAACAGTCGTGGCTAATTGTTTTTGCAACGGAAAGCACAGTAGGAAGGTTTGTTGTTATTGTTATTATTATTATTACTGGGGACATAAATTAGTATGCTAATCTCTTATCATGGTATAATGATTGATACGCTGGGTATCAAATAGTTTTCCTTTGATATAAACAACAAAAGAGCGGCCTTCCAAATATCTTTGCTGAATGTTTATAACGTAGGTACTATTATGCGCAAAAATATTGATACATGACGCAAACGACATTTACTAATTTTGGTAATATCAATTTTAATTAAAATTAAATTTAATTGAAATTAAAATTAAAATTTGTCTAAACGTGCATATAACCATTCACCTTGTTTAAAGGGTTCGCAACACTTTACATTCTAATACATTTTGCCAATTTTCATGTTTGCTAGTTTATTTTGATTTGAGAGGAAGCGAGAGAAGACCCTCTACTAGGGCCGCAAATTAATTATGAGTATTTTTCTTCAGTGCAAGAGACTGTGTAATGAAAAATCAATCTGTAACTCTGGTATATGGTGGCCTTGTGTGTGTAANGTATATTGATCATTGTAAATTATAATGTAACAGTCGCTGAGTTGGTACTTTATTTTTGTGTGGTACTATGCCAAACTTGAAAAAATGTATTACTGCATAAATAGTCTCAGTAGTTGCCTGATTAAGCAACTGAAATGATGTGCAATTATTTTTAATTACTTGCGAAAATAGAGGGTCACTTTATTAAATCACTTGCATTTTGGCTGCAACAGAACTTTCAACTAACCAACATTTTTCTTCCTCTTAGATTAGAATGATAAATCCAATGTTTGATACATCTAGCTGATCTCAGCTGCTCCAGGAACTCAGTGATTTGAATTGAATAGCATCACACAAAAAACAATGGCCAAGAAGTTTAGTAAAAAGGATTTAGATGACCAGTTTGAAGCCTTTCTGAAAGAGGTAAGACATCTAATTTTATTTTCCCAATTTTTATTATGTCATTTATTTTTCAACATTTTTAAGGTAAAATGTTTTGTTTTGTAGATTAAAATAGAATTGAGACATAATGAATTTTCTGTGTTAAAGTTATTAACTTGAAGAGAAATTAAGTCCTTAACAATATTAATCTTTTATTATTTTTCTTTTTTCTTTTAGTCAATGTACTTCATATATACATATATTTTCAGTCTATGTCAGATGATGAGGGAATAAATTCTGCTAGGGTTTCCAAATATTTGAAACCCAAAGAAAAACCAAAGAGTAACAAGCCATGGTGGATGAACGAAAGTGATGAGGAGGAGGAACAACAACCAAAGGCCAAAGAAGGTGAATGATCATCCCATGTTTGCCACATTTGGCCTGTGCAGAAAAAATTAATTAAGATGGAGGCATTTCTTAACAACGTTTATAAAAAAATTCTGTGCTTGTGGCGTTTAGTTAATTTGTCTCAATTATATAAGATTATATACAAAGAGTACCTATCCAATGCTCCATTGACCAAAGTCTGACAAATATCTGCTCAGTATAGATTGTTTAAGGTAATTATCAACAAATGTGATTTTTTTCCTCTAGATCTTGGAAGCACTGGCAAAAGTTTCCTGAAAAGCAAACCTAAGAGAGCAGACATATCACATCTTCTTCGTCAAGTAAATACATCATTTTTACCTTTGTAGCTAACAGTTCTACACAACTTTCTTCTATTTAATAGAGATTGGGTACTTGAAATTGAGAATGTGGATAGCAGTCATTTAAGTAGATTTCACTACTTGGATGTTATTTTTCGATGAAACTTCAATGATAGTAAAGAAGTAATACTTCGGAGTTTCATTAATAATATTGTGATTCAGACAAATATATTAAGGAACAGACACATTTCCTTAAGACACTGGTTTAATAAGCAGATTATGAATTCTAATCTGATTCTTATTGATATTCTGTAGACCCCTTCGCCGCCTCCCACCCAGACTCAAAGCAAAGTAGATGTAACAATGAGCAGAGACAGTTTAGAGGATCGTAAGTCACCTAATACAGCTTGATCCAGTACTGTAATTTCCTATCGAATTAAAGGAGATTTTATTATTTGTATTTCCCAATAGATTTTTTTAAAGTTGTGCTGTGTTAATGTCATGTCAGCAAGCATGTTTATGAGAATTGAACAGTGATAAACTTGAGGAAAATACCATTGTAAAAGTGACATGTTTGGAATTTGTAAACATTTACCATTAAAACATTTTGTGACATATCTTGAAACTAAAAGATATAAACCTGTGTATTTTTGTGTGTGTGATGGAAATATATATTTGTGCATTATGTGATGTTTTACTTTGCAGTTAATTCAAAAGCCAGAGAGGAACAGAAAAGACAAAAGAGGTCAGAAACTTATTTATCACACTTTTGTGGCAATAATTGATGGAATGATGCTTTGATTCAGGGATGTTTTGTGAAGTGTTGGGATATTTCCAGTTTAAAACTATATATATTTGCATGACAAATTTAATGAATAATGGGTCTGACTTGATCCCATCATTTAACCCACTTTATTTTTGGAAATTATAAGGGTGACTTGATATGTGATTTTATGTTTTTTCTCCTCCTTGCAGTGTGATGCTGCCCAGGGTCAGCCTGGAAGACACTCAGAGTTACACAGGTAATTTTCGTTGTTACAGAATATTGCAGTATTGTGTTCATTTTGTTCAGTTATTAATGGCTTAAATTTATGACTTAAATTTGCAGGCTTTAAATTCAAGGGCTGAGGATATTACTATAAAATTTCGATTTCTATTATAAAGGATTATGTAATATATATATATAACCAGTAATGCAAATGTACACTTTTTCATGTAATTCATAGCCATGTAACTGTTTTTGAAAATTCTTATTGAGCAATCCAGTCACTCAAATCAGATATTGTCTTGGAGAGAAGCATTATATATATATTTTTTTCTGTTAATCTCAAATATTATTTCAGAATCTGGTGATCAAGATGCCAATGCCACTATCCCACCAGGTATGGATACACTAGATGAGAAAGCAGAAAAAGAACGGTTCTTTCAGGTAAACAATGCATATTTGTAGTATTTTATTTATTTTGCATATGATAAGAATTCAAAGTTTTGTGTTCATATTGTCTTTAAATTGAAAGAGACCACAATGAAAAAAAAAACGTACACTTAGTGGTACACTTTTGATATAGTTTTTGTGTTTTTATAGGATTTGGAAAATAAAGATGAACCTGCAGATTATGGGAAACTAAATAAAGACTTAGAGGCATCTGGTACTATGGCAGGCACCCTAGAATCAACAGGTGTTGCTTCTGACCAAGGTGGTTTTCTGAAGTATCAGGAAGGTAAATGATGTGTGTGTTATCAGGTTATTTAACTGTTATCATTTATGGGAGTAGTTGCAGCCCTTGTGTATGGGCAATTTACTTGTGTTTATTTTCTGGAACATTTTCTCCAACATTTTTTACACACACATGCATACACACGCGCACAGACATCATGTTTTGAGATTTTTTTGTCTGCTTTTATCGATGAACAGATATCAATGGATGGATCACTGGCTAGCAAGGTAGATTGATAGATTCATTATTTGTTTTATTGTATAGAAAGTAAAGAGTACAGTGATGATGACTTTGAAGACAGCAAGGAACAGGAGAGACCAAAGATCACACCTAGGAAGAAAAAGGAGGAAAAGAGTGGCAATGAACAGAAATTGAATCTTTTATCAAAAGGTTTGCTTCTCGAGAGTATGATACACAAAGATTAAGAAAAACATCCTATAGTTGTCCATTTTTGAAATTTTGATTAAAGATGAGTAAATAAAGACAAGGTCATTTTAAGTCACAAATTTTTCTGTCACTGGGTGGCATATCTGCTGTACTTTGTAAAATATTTAATATTTCATGATAACAAAGGTTAACAATATCTTGACTCTTGATTTATATTCATGAAAGCTGACAACTAGTTGTCTATCTTTAAAAATAAAATCGAGTCTTTGGACTTAATTTTTTGTGTTTGAATAAGTGTTAACTCAACCTTATTCAGTGTCCCTCCTGGATACCACGATGGACTCCACCATGGACACTGGCACCATGCCTCAGGATAAAGCTAGGAGAGGATCCACTATCCAGGAGGAGGAGAGGGAAGACCACCAGACTGGGAGGGATGTGGGGCTTAAAACTAAAACTGGGACAGGTAATTTTATTTATTTATCTGTTGTTGTTATTATTATTATTATTATTATTATTATTATTATTATTATTATTATTATTATTATTATTATTATTATTATTATTATTATTATGTATTTATTGTATGTGTTTATCATAACGAAGCATTTCTATATGGCAACAGTGATTTTAATTCATTAATTAGCATGTCAGTTTTAATCATTAAATATAAAACCACTAATGTCAAATGTGTCAATTTATTCTGACTTCTCATTTAATTTTTGTTTTAATTTATGTATTTTTGTCTTACAAATATTTGCAAAAATTTCATTTCTCCCAGGATTATTCACTGACACTAGTCAAGAGATAGCAGCATTACAGAGTGCCCTGAGAGAGGCCGGCATGTCTACAATGCTAGGTACAGGAGATGCTGACTCTGTATTAAAAGACACTGGGGTGCATGACAAGAGTGATGTCAGCCATGTCACAGAACAGACAGAGGGAACTAGGGGCTTTGGTCTAAAGCCTGTGGCTGGAGGAGATACTGGTAATCACTGTCAGTTTTATATTACCGATAAGGAAAACACGTGCTCACATGCATGCACGAATGTACACGTGTGTGTGCACACACACTGCTTATAACATCCTACCATCCTACATTTCATTCATGGCAATGACTTCTCATAATAAAACTATTCTTCACTCTTTCCATTTGATTATACAAATTTAAAGTTTGATGGGTATGAGGTGGGGATAAGAAAAATAAATTTGAACAGACAGACAGTTCAGTGGTTGGCCACCTTTGCCAATTGTAGAGAGTTTTTACATATTATCCTCTTATGGCAGATCTTTAACTGTTATGATATCATCAGCACATGTGAAATTTCTGTATCCATGACTAAATGTAAAGTAACATCCATACCCCAGCGAATCCAAGTCATATGAGGTAAATTAAATTCCAGACAAGCCTTCTCGCACTGTTGAAGATCTTCTAAGGGAGGCTGAAGAAATTGAGAGAAGAGCCAAAGCAAGGCAGAGTCCACCACCAGTGGATATATCATATGATAATGGTATGCAAAATAGATAATCAATGTCTATGTTTCATTTTAAGCAACATTCAAATATGTTTTATTTACATTACTAAAGTTTTCTTATAACAATCTTTACTGTCTTATACCTTATGTCTTTCTACAAGGGAAACAATTTTACTTTTCCAAATATGAGAATTTGGGTCATTTTATTTGAGGAATGAAATCAGCATGCTTATGTTGATGATTATATTAGTGCTCCTCTAGGAGATGGCATTGATTCAGGATTGAACAGACCGATTAGACCAGGTGTTAATTCTTGAGCCCTCTGATATTTAGGGTATTATGCTTAAGATTTAACTTAAACCATTATTTCTATGCAGGTGGTAGAGATGAGAAGTCAGATGACAGACCTGCACTATCCCCTGTACACAAAGAAGTCTCAATATCTGACCTGTTCAAGGACTTGGTATGTAGTCTGTAAAGGATAGCAATTAAAACAAATCGTAAGATCATTTAGTTGATTGATATATATTCGCAAAGAATGACTAAATAGGCCAGATGTAAACTTTTTCCTCCAAAATATGGTAGTTTTGAATTTGGTACATTATAATTATTGGTAAAATTTATGAATTCCTATTTCAATTTTTTTTTCTTTAGGATGAGCAGGACTATACGACACAGAATCAATTGGCACCTATAATTGAGCATTCTTCACCTAAACCACCCAGACCAGGTATTTTATACTGATAAACTTTGTTCTATTATTAGATTTTGGATATAAAACGGACCCAAAAATATTTTTATTGGTGTATTTCACCATAGAATTCTAAGTGATTTGGTCAGAAAATTGAAAAGAAAACAAGGTGACCATATTATTTCATGAATTATTTTCATTGATTTATTTTAGCTAAAAGATCTAAACCTAAGACCAAATATGCTGATATCCCTAGTTCAGGCTATGGGCTTAGAACCCCAACAAAGCCTAAAGGAACATCCTCCAGGAAAACTGCATGGTCACCAAAGGACACCATGAAACAAAAAATAAAAGGTCAGTTAAAGAAATTTGTAAAAAATTGATGTAAATCTGCAATAGCAGAAAGATTGCAGATTATTATCTCTTTTAGGCCGAAAAAGATTCTCGAACAATCTTGACATGTGCCCATACCAAACATTTTTGGAAGAGTATAACTTGCTAGACTGGCCCCAAGCTATTTGTTGGAAAATATGATGAATTTCAGAATGTTTATTACGTCGATATTACATCTTGTAAGTGACATATAAAAGTGTTATTGAAATGTATAGAACAATATAGAATTGAGATTTAATATAAACTTATTTTAGGCACAGAGACAATAACAGTGAAAGAGACAGGAAAGAGTAAAGTGGCAGATACCCATTTACTGGCATCAGTGGAGTCCTTTGCACAGTACATAAAGGAGCAATTTGGAGACAAGCCTGGAAGACACAGGGAGAAAACAGATGTGAGTGAAGATACAGATTATATGATCAAACTTCTATTTATGACTACATATTACAGAGCCTTTAATTGAGACACTTTTCTTATTAGGCTATTTGCATTTAAAACTTTTTATGTCACTTTTCTTCGTTGCAATTTACCATTCATAATTTTGCTATGTTGTTAGGGAATATTAACACCAGATTTTCTGTAAGTTAATGATATCAAAACTTTACTTTTTGCAGGCACCTTGGCTTGAGGAAGAACCAATTATGTCACCACAGCAAAGAGAAGAGAGGATTTCACAAATTGGCAGGGAAAAGGCCTTGCAACAGGAAGTTAAAGACTGGCAGGAGCAGTGGAAGGAAGAGAGAAAGATGAATGTAAAGATGAGGGGTAAGGTGCCTGAGTGTTAGTTTGATACACGCGAGTTGTAACTAATTAACCCCAATAGATCTGTGTGATTAACAAACTTGAAACAAGATTGTGGTTGACTTGAACCTTAAAGGTATGAACATTTGAAACCTAATTGCCCTTTGAATCTCCACATCTGGTTGGAAGCAACTTTCCCCAACACACCAAAATCTCCTGTTATTTGGGTTCAGCTATTTGTAGGCTAGTATATGTCTTATCAGTTAACTCATTAGGGGTGTATGTTTTATGGATTTTGCTTATTTATACATGTCTTAATTATGACAAAATAAATTGATTGGTAATGATTTTTTGTAACCTTCAGCTGATGCAGGAGCATTAGAAAGAGACTATGAAAGGAAGCTTGAAGAATACAAATTGAATTATGAGCAAGAATTGTTTAAACTGAAACAAGACAATTTTGTTCTTATGGCAAAGGTAAGACTTACCTCATCAACTAAGTATATGAAATGAAATATCCATATATATCTAAATGTATTGTTCTGATTATAATGATTAAATGTTGGTGGATGTTGATAGATTAAAGTTAATGAATTTCTGTTGAATGGATCTTTGGTATGATTTTAAATTATTTCTTTTATTAGGTATCAGAAGCTGGACCAGAAGAAAGGGACAAAAAGAAGATCCTGGAGGGAGACAGCCTGGAAAATGTTAGCAAAGAACAAGTGCAATGGATGGAGAGAGAAATTAGAGAGCAGGAAAAGCTGATGCTGGGCTATCAGCAGGAGAATGAGAGACTTTACAAAGAAATGAAAGCTATGCAGATCACGAATAAAGCCACAGAAGAGAAAATGTTCAAAGAGAACCAGAGACTTACAGCAGAGATTGTATCTTTAAGGTATGCAGAGGTGTGGTTTTTGTTTACTGTTTCCAGCAAATGGATATTATTATTTTATTACTATTATTTTATTTTTATTTATTTTTTTTTGCTATGTGGCATATTGCTTTCTACATATGCTATATATTAATTGATATTTTGTGTTTCTGTCCCATTTTTTAGAACACAGTTAGAAAGACGCGAGGTAGAATTGAAGAATAAAGGCATCATCACCAGCTCTCTGGCTCAGCAGCAGATAGTAGCAGGCAGTCCAGGCACAGCTATACTGGGAGCTGGCAGGATTGCACAGTTAAATGCAGAGCTCAGGCAGGCACAGGTATGGGGGTGAGGGGGGCATTTCTATTGTGAATTGATTTTACAGCAAAGTGGCTTTTGTTCCAACTCCTTAGCTGAATGGAAATTGAGGAGGAAGATTACTACACTAAATTGACTTCTTTATCAGTGCAGCAGAATTTTTGTCAATTTGACCAGTACTTACAAAGATTTTAAATCTTAAATCTTAATACAATTAGGTAATTATACCCGAAAACACCATATAGAAAACTTTCATCACTAGCCTTGTGGTTTTGACATTGTAAAGTGACCACTTCATCAAAAAATTCTTTAATCGTAGAAAAGTATGTTGTTGTAAGAAAATGTTTGTAGTAAGAATATTGTTTCACTTATTTTTCTTTTATAATGTTCATTTTCTTTGTTACGTGCTCTTCGAATTATTCTGATCACATGATATTACAGGACAAGATTTTAAAGCTGGAACAGGAACTGAAAACAGCAGAGCAAGCCAGGACTGAACTTGAAAACCATATAGAAGTTATAGTCAGAGACAGAGAAAGATATGAGGACAAGATCAAATATGCCAAGGAAATGAAATCTCAGGAAATCATGGTTTGTATATGTTGTTAATTATAGGAGATCATGTTTTCATGTTTTCATTGCACATCTGGTGTGGGTGGGATAATGAGAAACATTTTCCATACTCATGAACATTTTTTTAAATGCATTGTCACTGGATATGTTACATATTTGCAAATATTAGGTTTATTCATTTTAAAAAATTTAATCGATTTTATATTACCAAATATTTAGAATATTTTGCCTAATATAATAATAATATAAAACAGAGTTTTCTGATAAGATATTTGTTACCCTACTTTTTCAGGTTAACTTATACATAAATCTTAGGATTTAGATTCAGACATCTTACCAGCTGGGTTGGCTGATTTAATTTGATAATTAATTTGAGAGCATACAGAAGTTAATTACCCCCTATATTGAGGAGGGGTGTCAGACAAGTAAACTGATCCCACTGATTGCACTTACAGAGAATCTCCTGCAGAGTTGGACCGACCTAGCAGGTGAAATGTCTGAATCTAATGGGCCCTTATATTATATTATATGCCTGTTTTATATTATGTCCTTCAGTCAGTGCAGCAGGAGCATGCCAAGGAGATCGAGAGGCTGAACAGGAAACTGAAGTGGTATGCTGAGAACCAGGAGATGTTAGACAGAGACTCTGATGCCTTGAAGGAGAAAAATGATGAGATAAGAAAACTCAAGAAGAAGATTGAGGATCTGGAGTCTGAGGTTTGTAAAATTGTGGTGATTAAATGTTTTTAAAATTTTCTGAATGTTGAAATTTTTAATAAGTTTAAATGTACATTTTTAATAAGCTATTGATATGAAATAATTTACTTAATACTACATTTATGGGGTGTAATGGTTTAAAACTTTCAGTTGACAATGCATATTGTTTTACCATAGGACAAAAAAGCTTTGACACATTGAGCAGGTAATGTTTTATATTGGTCATTTGAGAAAAATATGTAACATATTTACTTCTTAGAGTGGAACCAGGCAACTAGAACAGAAGGCAAGAGCAAAGGAAAGATCCACAGAGGCAAAGAGAATACAAGATTTAGAGAGACAGGTAAGGGTTGCACAACCCACTTCGAGCTAAATACAAATTTAGAGTTAGTGTCTTCAAAGTTTTGTTGTGAAAAATAGTAATCATGCCCCTGAGTCAACAAAATTCTTTTACTTTTGATTTCATTAGGTTAAAGAAATGGAAGCAATAATGAGAAAACGCCACCCAAACTCCTTGCCTTCCCTGATATGGGCTGCATCTCAGGTACAAGATCCAAAGTCACCAACCAAGGGACCTAGTGTGCAATTCCTGGAGAAACAGGTGAAGAAACTGGAGGCAGAGTTAGACAAGAAGGACGAAGAGGCTAAGAAAGGCCTGAGAGTGATGGAGCAGAAGTACAATGCTATTAAGGTAGGAAATCTGTCAATTATCGTTTATTAATTTGGTGATATTCTCTCTCTCTCTCTCTCTCTCTCTCTCTCTCTCTCTCTCTCTCTCTCTCTCTCTCTAATAGGATCATAGGTTATTAATTGATCGTCACCTGCCTCCTTTACACACCCTCATGTTTCAGAAGTATCATATTTAATGAATGATCCCTGAAATTTACAATTATTTTAATTGAAGCATTAAAAAAGCAATTACCATTAGTTTTGATATCAGACAAATACATTTGTTANCTCTCTCTCTCTCTCTCTCTCTCTCTCAAATAGGATCATAGGTTATTAATTGATCGTCACCTGCCTCCTTTACACACCCTCATGTTTCAGAAGTATCATATTTAATGAATGATCCCTGAAATTTACAATTATTTTAATTGAAGCATTAAAAAAGCAATTACCATTAGTTTTGATATCAGACAAATACATTTGTTATGTATAGAGTGCGTTACATGGCTGGCAGACAGCTATTTTGATGAAATATTTAGGAAGACAAATTATTGTTTTAGTTTCAGTACGAGGAGCGCATACATGACTTAGAAGATCAACTGTACAAGTACAAAGCAGCAGATGCGTCAGAGTTGAGAGCACACCCACACACAAGCACTGTTGCACTCCACAAAGAGCTTGATGCTGTGAAGGACAGACATAAAAAAACTGTGGCAGAACTGGAGGCTGAGATTGAAAGGTTGAAGAAAGAGTTAACGACCTTGAAAAACAAAGAAAAAGGTTTGTTGTATATTTGTATGTAGGAAAAACGGCTGCTGTAGATTAGTTTCAGAACCCTGCTGCCTCTTAAAATTTACATAATTGTATGTTTTGTAGGGTTTTTATATATGTGTAAGGTAATTTCAAAGATGTTTTTTATTGATGATGCAAGACTGAGGCAAATATGATTAACTCAATAATATATATCTATTTTCCTTTTTACAGCAATTTATATTTTATATTTCACAAAATACAAGATTTTCAAAGGTGTTTGATCATTCCTTTAATCTCTCTGTGTCAATTGGTCATGGGGAATTTTAAGCATGTCTCTAATTTTAGTTTTACATATTCAAGTATATGAATTAGTATGGTTTTATCAATGTTCTTAATCTCCAGCTGCAGCCAAAGCAGAAGCCAAGGCAGCTGTAGAAGCTGAGAGTGAGCTGGAGCTCAGAGTGAAGGCATTAAGTCTTGAGCTGGTCAACAAAGATAAAGAAGTAGAGGTACTGAGGAAAATGGTAAATCAACTAGAAATTGAGAAGAAACATGTTGAGATGGATGCTTTGAGGCAAGCAGTCAGGCCAGGAGAAAAAGGTGCAATTCGTTACTGTTATTTAAACAGGATGGACCATTATACAATTTATATAGAGAATTGTCTTGTTTTGAGTGTTTATTGTTACTAGGTTAAAGGCTTGTAAAATCTTATAAAGTGTATGAATGAATATAACACTTTACGCATTGATTATAGATAAATCTTAAGTAAAGTAACACTACTTTCTGCTTATTATATACACCTCAAGCACAGGAGAAATGTGAATGATAGGAAAATATATTAAATTTTTTTCAGTGGTGAACATTTAAATTCTTTTATAGGAAAAGCAGTTGTCAAAGGAAAAGGAAGAGGAAAGGCTGGCAAGAAGACATCACCACGTGATCCTGCAGAGCAGCAAGAGAAACCACCGGTTTTGTCAGTCTTTCAGGAACCTTATGTGAATGGGAAAGAATATGAACCCAAGACTTTTTCTGGATCTCATATATCAGATGTCCAAAGAGAAAATGAAGAGTTGAAAGCACAGGTATACTTGTGTTGATTTTTTTTTTTTTTTTTTTTTTTTTTTTTTTTTTTTTTTACATCCAAATATGATGTTTTTGACTAAAAGATTAGAGAGATGAACATTCACATACATTAGTAGGGACAGGAGTTGAATATAATTGCCACTGAAAAAGTTAACATTTTGATTATTGTGTGTATGGTTTTTATCCATCAGACATCTGCAGAACCTTTTTTAATTAATTTATTATTTTTTTCTTTGCAAAGCATCAAGAATTTTAAAAAACGAATCTAAGAATTGAGCAACATGTTGAATAGAACATATAAATATGGATAAATGTACAGTCATTTTAATTAAATCATTAAAATTTTGTTATTCTGTAGGTTGACCAGTTACAGCTAGAGTGTGACCATCAGAGAGTTAACATGCAGAAAGCAGTTGCTGAGGCAGAGGCATCTAGTAGAAGGGCAAGGGAAGATATGGCAGAGCAAGTAGGCTATATTTTTTGTTTTTTACATTGTGTTTTCTGTACTTGTGACTATTTATTTTAAACACTTAGCTGTAATGGTATTAGTATGAGAATTGATACTTTCTGACATGAAATATTGCACAGTAAGCTGTCAGATTTTTCAATCAAATATTTTTTTCTGCATGAATAGATGGCAGCACTTAGAAAAGCCCACCAAGATGAGCTCCAGAGGATCCTGACTGACCATGCCATGAAGCACTCCACCTCCAAACTTGTAGAACTGCAAAGTAAAGTGGACTCACAGCAGGTAACAAATTTACAGAATATCTCTGCCTGTCACTAGATTGTTATCTATGATAGATGGGACTATTTTATGCAGTTAAATAATTTCAGTTTTTCAGATGCCCTGATTCACTCACTTTTGACATGGTTTTGGTAAGCAAGTGGTCAAACAGATTTATGTTGTGGATTCATGAAAATTTTCTACTTGAATATTGGGCAATGTAGTTTTTGGTAGAGAATAATGTATTTGGTTTTAGAAATGAAATTCAGGTATTTGAAAAGACAGGTTTGCAGGTGATTGTATAAGTCAGTGAAAAATGCAGTGTGACTAGAACAAAATGTAGAGCGTGATTTTTTAACAGGTAATGTTAAAGCACCTCAAAGAGCAACTGGCCCAGGCTGACATAGATAGAGAACAGTTGTCTGCAGCTAGAATTAGAGAAACTGCCTTAGAATCCCAGGTGAAACAGTTACAGGATGACCTCAGGGAGGCCAAAAAACATCACTCACCAGTAAGTGAAGTTAACTGTCTTTCAATTTCCAAATACTGTGAATAAATTGTTATTGAAAGAGAAGGTGCATTTTAGGTTCTTGTACATCTGAATAATTATCATTGCCATATAATCATACTGTCTTATTCTTCGTTTATTTAAAACAATCAATTCATTATCTTTTTGTTACTAGTGCTAAAGTGACGTTTATACAGGATAGATACTTAAAGGTGAATATTTAAATTTGCAGGAAATGAAACACTTTGAGGCACTACACGAGAAAATTACACAAATGGAAAACAGGCACAGGCAAAGAGAGCAAGAACTACAACAGATCATCCGAAACACTAAGCTGAATGCCGGGGTGGAACTGAATAGGGAAGTAGACAAATGGAGACGCATGGTGGAGGTGAAAAATCAAGAGACAGAAAGATTTAGGATAGAGCTGGACTCCATATTAGAAGTGCTGCGAGAGTTACAGAGACAGGGTGTTTCTATGCCTATGGGTGAAATTAGGAGTTTCAGGACGTCTTGATAATTGTCCTTTTATAATTTTGAGTATGCCGATAAAAAGTTCATGTTAAATCTCCAGCATGGCCATGTGCTAAATATCTTCATGTGAGCAAGGTTTACAGTTTTCCCATCTATTTTATAGGCCCTTAAATGTATAATGTTGGTAATCAATTTGAAACATCAAAGTAAAATGCAAACAGAAAACCATTTGATAATTACTTTTATCTATTATCATTAGAGCAATTGTCTTGATCATTACCTCAACAAATGTAGAAAGTTGTGGTTTCATTTGAAATAAGTGATAAAACTAATTTAATTTGGTAGAACGAAAAAAGGAAATGTTTATAGTAGTACTTGTATGATCTTTATAGTATTTGACAGGCACTGAATATTATGCATTTAATGATTTGAGTGCCTTTTAAGAATCTTACATAATTGCTTCAAATACCGTAAAATGTTATTAAGAAAAGAAAACTTGAGTGGCATAAATGAAATTAAATGGAGATCATTTGAAAGAGAGGTAACTTGGTTCATCATATTATTGTAAAAAGAGTTATCATTGACAACATGAACTTGACAATATCCCGTCTTGAGGTTTAATGGTAGGTTTATGTGAACATTCATGACCAAAATATCTGCATAAATTGAAACATTACTATATTTTGTACTAGTTTGACTTCTAAATTTAAGTCTGTAAATCTGTATATACAAAGTGTGTATATAAATGTATTTATATTTATTAGCAATTTAACTTATTTATGTAAATAAGGAATTACACCAATAAATAACATTGATTGATTTACAAAAAGAAAAAGACCTATCCCAAATTTTGTTTGGAAGTGTGTTGATATTGTTATCACTACTGCTTGTGCAGGATGATGGTAAATCTGATAGTAGTCTCTTTAAAAAATGATATGTAATCTGGTTATCATTATTATTTTTCATTATTTTGCAAAGCACTTGTAATTTTTACTGCTGATGGTAGTGCACTATCTTTCAATACTTTGAGTCCAGAAGAGGCATTTACCAGATGACTCCCATTTTTTCTATTCCGTTTTGTGTCCTTTTCCTCTGATGCAGAACCTTTGTTATCAGGGATGACAGATTTGACAGGAGTTTGTGGGCAAGTAATATTACTATGCAAGTCTTTCCAAAACTGAAGCCTGGTTGAGGTGAAGATATTGTGGAGACTTGAATATTGAGTGAAGTTACAGTAGGAATAATTCAACCTCGAGGCCATAAATCCAGGGTTGTGAACGGGGAGGATTCCAGCTTTTTTAGCTGCTATTCCTATGAATGCATCTTCCATTGATAAGTATGGTTGTGTTATGGCCGTTTTGTAAATGGCGGAGGCAGCTTTGTTGGCTAAGATGTACAGCGGGCCCTGGATGTATTCTGGATATTTTTTATCTGGATATTCATCGCAGCCGACGTACCATTTGTGCCATTTCAGACGCAGAGGCTCCTGACTGCTTACAAGATTTCCCATGTATAGTTTTTCACCACTGCCCGAATGCTGGATATCTTCAAGTATTTTTATAATTTGGTCATATCTTATTATCATCTCCACCTCACTTTTCATGAAAAATACATAGTCGGGGCACATTTCTTGGGCCCACTTTAATGCTAGCAATGTTTTCAGTGTGAGGTTGCGATAGGAGTCAACAAAGTCAAACTGGACTATGTCTTTGTGGATCATATTCTCTCTGTTAATTTCATATTGTAATTCCTCCCTTTGTTTTGCCATGCTCTCTGGGTAGCTTGCCAACATAAAAAAAGTTCTAATTTGATGCCCACTGATTTCTCTGTACTGACCCCAAGTTTTTCTAAAGATCTTACGCAACCCAAATTCATCTTGCCTGGTAGTTATGCAGGCTAAAAGATAGATTTGCTTTGAGGTGCCAGGTCTTAAGCCAGACCGATTCATCTTACAGATGTCTGAGCCATTGATTATCATTGGATAGCTTTTGAACCAGTCTGTCTTTGGAGGTTTTCTAAACTGCTTTGGGGGACAGACTTCGTTTGTCTGCAGCACTTCTCCTTTTTTGGTATGAACATCTCCCAAATGAACAGTTTTATTCAAATTCTGATTTATTTGGCTTTGTAACATCTTAATACCTGCTGATCCATCTTCCTTAGCTTTATCAATTCTCATTTCCCTGTTAGACGTATCTATAGCTGGCCTCTGTTCCTTGTGAAGGGTAATAATGTTGGAATTGGCAGCTCCCTCAGAGATGTTATTATCTAATTGTTCAGGCTTATCTTTTTGCAGTTGTGCAATAATGGAAGACCTCCTGCCACCAAATTGACTTCTGTTTTCTGTTGTTTCTTTCCTTAATTTTTTATCAGAATGTGAAAGGTCGTATTTTTCACTTTCGTAAGACCTTTTGATATATCCCAAACTATTAATTTTTTCATTTTCTGTCAGGGGCTTCCATTTTTTATCTTCACTTTCCATTTCTTCATTGTGGTTTTTCTTATCCAAATTTCCATTATATTTCAAACTGTCACCTTCAGACTTTCCTCTCCTCCTGTTTTCCACAATATAATTATAGTTACTAGTTTCATCAAAGTTTTTTGTGAGTTCAGACCCTATGGCCTCTAAGGCCTCATTTTGTGATAATCCTCTCTTCAAGGTAGAAGTAGGTTCGTGCAGACCAGGTCCTGGTGCATTTCCACGTGGGTTCACAAGAGAGATCCTGGACTTGGTATTGGACACTACTAGCACATGAACACCCTCATAGAGAACATTAAGAATGGTCACAAAAAATATCAAACAGAGACAAACCACAAGAGTATTAATTTTAGCCATTATTGCCAGTTGTCTGGTAGTGATTTTCAACCCGTTTTTGGTTCTGGAGAAGATTCAGCTAAATGTCCAGGTAAGACCTTCGGTGTTGGGTTATTACTATAGCAATGGTACCGCCTAAATACTTCTTAGTCTTCAGGTTATTCCAACTCCACTGATAACAGGTTGATGACAACTTTTCTCCCTCTTAATTTGTAGATTTAAAGTACTCTTTCCTGTTGAGAAAAGTTGTACATGTGACCTAGATTAGTTGTGCTCCCTTCCATATGGCTGCATCTTAAGTATTTAATTATAACAAACATTAATTCAAAATAGGACATTTAAAGTCATTCTTTCACAACTAAGTCAACCACATTCTCGCAAAGTAAAATGTGTCTTTTAGGCCCATATGTGTAATGGCTGTTAAGAATGTATCTTTAATGTTTGGCCTTCTTGCACATCATGGTTACAAGAAAATTTCCATCTATTTTGCCAACATTTCAAACACCTATTGGTCAGTTATAAAAGAAAAAAAAAACTTTAACCAAAATAAATGTTTTTGCAAATTTTTTTATTTACAAATAAATGAGACATATATCCAGTAAAATATGCTACTTGCATTTATTTTGAAAACTTGAAATTAAAAAAGATTTAATCATCAATTTTCTACAAAAAATAAAATGGACCAAGCAGATAAAAATGTTGACTTGAGTGCAATGGCTACAGTGCTAGCACAGCAGTAGCTCAGTTATGTTCAAGTTAATTTTTTATCTAAGTAAAAAATGACCAGCAAATAACACAGGTAGAATAGCTTTTAATTTTTCATTACCTCCAATAATACAAAAGTTACTTAAAATTACCCCAGTCAATATCTAAACTCATCACAGAAATGATTTCAGAAATCAGGAGATTAAATTAATAATGTTAGATTTACAGTAATAAATCTCATTGTAAATAGCTCCTATTTTCTAGGATAAAGTCATAAATTTTTAAGATAAATGATGAGGAGACAGGATTTTTTTACTTAAAAATTTAAGCTATAAAGCTGCACTATCCCAACACCTGTAGCTGCACCTGTTTACTACTCCACTTCTTTGTAATCCACTGATAGCAGGAATGCATTCTACTTTGTATAGCACAAATCTTTTACTTTAAGCTATTTTACATGGTAAAAAAAAAAAAAAATACAGATATCTTCTATTGGCCTAGGTAAATAATGATTTTTTAAAATTATATAATATGGACGGAAACTTATAATAAATAAATGCTGTTGAATTACAAAGGAAAATGCAAAACAAAGCAAAATATGCATAAAAATAAAAAGCTAAAATAAATATTAATTACAAGGACGGTCTGCAGATTTCAGACAAAATTACTTTTGTACCTGTAATGCATTTTTGCCATTTAAAAAAAGGGACTTTTAAATTAATTTATAAGGTTAAAAGTTGCAGCTTTAATGCTAAAATGGATTGACATTTATGCAGATAAATACTGGGGAATATCCGTTTGCAATACACATTCAATTTACTGTGAAATTGAAATTCTTTTTCTCCAAATGATCAATTACAACATAAATCCAAATGACTTAACTTGACAAGAAAAAAATAGTATAGTGACATACTTTCTAACATTCTGTAATGTCATTTGCAAGTAGCACTAAATTGGTGGGATGAGCAACAGCTAATTGTAATTGCACAAATTTTCACTGGAAGCTATAATTTACATTGATGCTTCGCATGCTCTCTGCACTGCGAAGGACGAACAATTCATAACATATCAAAATGTATGATATGGCATTTAAATCAAGTACAAATTCAGGCTGCATAACTTAGAGATATTCATAATATTATCCAACTTTTGTCTCCGAATCTCAGGTAGATTACCCT